TGGAGGAAGGGTCATGACCCAAGGACTACAGGCAGCTGCTAGAAACTGGGAAAGGCAAAGGAATGGATTTGCTCCCGGAGCCTCGAGAAAGAATACAGCCCTCCCAGCACCTTGACTTGAGCCCCGTGAAATCCCTGTCAGACATCTGGTCTCCAGAACTGTGATGGTAATAAATACATGTTGTTTTAAGCATTAAGGTTGCAGTGACTTGTTACATCAGCAATAGGAAACTAACACACGGGGCAGCTTCCTGGAGCCTGCTGTTGGGCAACGGGATTTCACGGCCCTCCTGCTACTGTACGCCTAGCAGTACTGCGTTAGACCCACAGGGGATAATCCTGTGGTTTCCAGAGACCCAGTCCAGCTCCACATGTAGACAAAGTCTGGGGACTTACCTGCCTCTTTCTGCCTGGACCCACTGCGGCATCTGAAACTCTCACTGCTCTGAACGTCTCAAGGGCTCCACTCTTATGTCCACTTGTTGTTTCGAAATGGAGATGTTGAGTCTCCTCTACCTAAAGCCTCTTGATGCTATCCCATCAAGACCCAGCATGCAGCAGGCCCTGCCCACCCCTCCAGCCTCATCTTCCTCCATCCAGCCCATGAGCCATGCTGAGTGTGTCACAGGGCCTTTGCACGTGCTGTTTCCTCTTCTTCCAAGTGCTTTTTCTTGCCCTCTTTACTGGGTCAGCTTCTCTTTATGCTCAGATCTCAACTTGATGGTCGCTTCCTCCGAGATCCCTTCTTGATGGTTCCTGTTCCTCTCTTCTGCCTTCTCCTGACCACTGATACTTGTCCTTCAGAGAACTTACTATGAGTGTGATTGTGATGATCTGTGTGATGAATTCAGTAAGGCCCAAGCCCTCTCTATAATGCCAGCTCCACTCAGGCAGGGACTCACCTGTTTTGCTCCCTCTTGGGTCCTCATTGTCTGCTTGGCACATGGCAAGCGCTCCATAAATATCTGAATGAATGAGTAGCCCATCTGCTTCCATTTGGATAGCAAGGTCAGACCAAGTTGGGAATCCACTTCCCGCCACCTCCAGGGCTGGTCCGCTGGGACCCAGAAGAGGAGACATAGCCTTCTGGTGCTTCTGAAAACGTCCTGGGAAATGCAAGAAGTCACAGAGTAAGCAGCAGCTCTCCTTAAGCGCCCAGCCTGATGATGGATGGGTTTCCTGGACGCAGGGCATGAGTGGTAGTCGTAAAGTTAATCGGGCATGTAAAGACATAACTAGAGAGTGACAGGCACGTACGGTGTCCAGCTAATTGGGCTCTTAATGTGGAGGCATCAGACAGGCAAACAGAACAGACCGCCGATGCAGAGAGGGCCTTCTCTTCGACATGGAGGGAACTTCTGTTTCAAGACGCCATGGGAAGTCGCGGCATTTCAGCCTCAGGATCTGAGACTCCCTGACTGGTACCCGTGGGAGGAAACTTGAGCTTCACCTCCTCTAACCCCCTCACAGTAAAGTCTGGGAAAAGGGCTCCCAGAGAACAGAGGCTTTTTAAGGTCATTGACTGGAGAGAGAGAAGGTAGGATTCAAACCACGTCTTTTAACCCTGCCTTCCTGGCTCCCTATCTTCAAAAATGCATTTTCTCTTCTAAAATAAAGGCAACACATGTTCGTGGTGGGAGGTTAAGGAAGGAAGCATATGGGGAGGCCAGCTAATCGGGTGCTGGAGGACGGAGGGAGACAGAGGCATTAAAGAAGTAAATTAAAAAAAAAAAAAAGGAAATAAACGTTACTTATAACCCCACCACCCAGTGATTCTCACTGTGAATATTTGGGTGTGCTTCCTTTCTGATTTCCTTTTTTTTTTTTTTGTCAAGTGTACATCATGAAATTCATTGCACGTGTTCCAAACCCCAGTTTGCTCCCTGACTACAGTTCTACATCCTGGGTTTTGGGGTGGGGGTCTTTTTCCTCCTTTAACATAATAAGGAGGACATTCTCCCATGCAGTTTGCCCTCCTGCTCCCTTTCTTCCTTCAGTGCTTCCCCAGTATGCCTAGGAATTCACCAGCATCAGAATCACAGAGGGAGCCGCTTTGAGACTCAGATTCCTAGACCCCGCCTCCATCCCACAGCATCACTGTCTGCATGCTGAGCTCTCTCCCCAGGTGATCCCCAGGCAAATCCAATTTCGAGAGCACCCCCCACCCCTTCACACCCCCATGCGTGGCTCCCCGAAGAACTGCTGGGGGGGTGGGTTCTGCAGACCCATAGCTGACAAGGTGGGAGGAGGGGCTCCATGCCTCCATATCCTTTTTGAACGCACGGAGGGTTGCCGGCATCCCTTGGGGTGCACACAGGGTGCTCCTGCCAAGACTGGTAAGAACACACATTCCTTCTGGGATAAAGAAGCCAAAATGTTTTATCACCAGGATAAAGACCCATCGGTGACCCGTGGTCTTCCATGATGTAATTTCAACCTAGCTTCCTGCAGAGTTTCCGTGCTAAGTTTATGACCTTTGGCAGTGACAGCTGTCGGTGCTGAGGTTCTAGCACCGGGGGCTGCAGGGAGGGTATCCACACGAGTGGGCTGCAGGGAAGATCTTGGAGCAGAGAAGGAAGGTGGGCTCGTCCCAGCCCACACGTGTTTCTGTCCTTATTGGTCTCTGCCGAATTCGTGAGTAACAAGGGTTCCTGAGCTGAGACCTCTGAATAATGATCTTAAATCTGTTGTTTTTCCATGCCATTTGCTGTACTGATAGGAGCTAATGAGACTGTCCCCATATAAGGCCTGTTCATGGGGCCTTTTGGCATTGAGGAGTGAACAGTGCAAGAAACAAGCATTTGGGTAGAGGCTTAAGAATGTGGGTTTAAACGGTGAGTGAGTCTGTGGCCTTGATTTTCCAAGGGAGACAGGAAAGCCTCTGAGACTCCTGAGTAGAACGCACTGTGGTTTAGAATTGGGTCATCTGGTCTGGGCTGTCTTCCTGAGGCTTGACCTGAGGCGGGAAGCCAAAAGGGTTTCATGGAAAGCAGCGATGATTTCCTGACCCAGAGAACTAGATGCCCACCCTCGCTGAGCAGCCCCAGGCCAGTCTCTCATCCTCTCTGTGCTGGGGGCCCTGCCTTGCTAGAGTAAGGAGAACAAAATCTCACCATTTCCTGGCTAGGGCAGTGGATAAAGGAAGAAATAGTAAAAGAGGAAAATGTGTACAAGGAAAGTGTCATCATGAATTCACCATGCCCTACCTCCCATCAGCTCGCCTCATTGTCTCATAACATTTGATAATTCTACGATATTGAAAGGCATCCTGAAGTTTACGTGCTCTGGACAGCTTTAGGCCGTTTCTTTAAACTGTAGCTTTCCAAAGGAAATCCAATTCAACACTCTAAACACACAAAAGTGATAAATGCAGACATGCTGTGGATGAAGTAGGGTTTCTGGGCCCTCAGAATCACCCCGTCCCACCATTCCAGTGAGTGGCCCCTAAACTGCCTTTAAGGAACCCCGGGGTGCCGTAAAGCACAGTTTGACCACTGCTGATTCAGCCCGACACCTTCTGTTTTACAGATGAGGAATCAAGCCCAGAGAGGCAAAATCCAGGGCCAAACTTCAGACTTCTCAACCCTACATTGAGGGCTTTTCAGGAAAACAAAATGATGGGGCAGCTGTGGGGTGTCTCGTTCCAAGCTTGGGCAAGTGAGAGGCAGAGGGACGGAACCAGCCGGGGTAAATGGGTGTGTGTAACTTGGTGCTTACCAATGACTGAGGGTCTCCCTTGGTGTGGGGACTACCAGGGGTTTGAGCAGAGTGGAGATCAGACTGTTGAAGAAGATGCCTGTGGCTCTGCCTGTTACAGAGCGGCTGGGTGGAATTACAGTTAAGAACAGGGACTCCAGACAGACTGTGCCTGGGTCTGGATCTTAGCTTTCTCCACCTCCCGCTGTGTGACTGGTGTAAATCACTTAACCTCTCAGTTTTCCCACTTGGAAAATAGGGACAAGAATAGTGCTCAGCGTAGTGTGCTGCTGGAGGGACTCATTAAGAAGATCCAGGGGAAGGGATTAGCTCTGCACCTGGCACATAGTAAGTGCTCAGTAAACACCAGCAACTGGTATTCTAGGAGGATGTTCTGCAACCACGGACTGGGGCTGGCGCCTGGTGACTGCCCTGCCTGTCATCCTATAGAAACAGTTTCTAGGGAGAGCACAGGGAGGGAGAGGGAGGGGAGAGGAGAAGGAGGAAGGAGAGGGTCACTCTGGCTCTGCGCATCCAGCCTCCCGAAGCAGCTCTGTCCGATCTGGGTCACAGTGGAGGCTCTGGGGGCCTGCAGGCTGCTCTTGGCTCTTCCCGGGGTGGAGCCGCTCTCTGATGAATGAAGCACAAAGGGAGAAGCTGCTATTTATAACACTGGGAGTCAGAGCGCTCGGAGGGGAGGGCAGGAGTGAGGAGGGCCTGTGGAGAGAGTCTGCAGCAGGTGGCTGCCAGGCAGGGCGGCCGGAGATCTTCTAGAGCCTGTGATTCCCAAATTGCCTCCCAGCAGTTCTCATGCCCATGTGCCCACAGGTGGGACCCGGCCCATGGGGGGAGGGGGGACAGGGTCCAGCTGCATCCTGGGAAGGGGAGCAGGTGTGCTAGGGATGGGGATAGAGAAGACCCATGATGACGGCAGCTGCAAGTAAACTTGGAGATGCCAACGAAGACATCCAAGTGAGGATGTCAGGGAGACAATTAGATAAACAGAGCTGGAGCTCAGAAGGCAGTTTCCCTGGAGGAGGTGACAGGAGACAGAAAAAGTCTAGATCAGGTGCTTAGCCTGAGGTCACTAGAAGAGATGGAGGGTATGGGACATGGATCTGCCGTGGTCTGAACACATATCAGAATTTCATCTACGTGTGCCTTATTTTGGGGAAGGGTCCAGCAGTCACCATCAGATACTCAGGAACCCATGACTCAGAGAAGGGAGACCTCAGCTTGATACCGTGGGAGATGCCAGTGGTCCCTGGTCCTGTAGGGCCCTTCTGACTCTGCATCTGCTTCCAGGCGCCTGGTGGACCGTCTGGAGAACATGAGGAAGAATGTGGCCGGGGATGGGGTGAACCGCTGCATCCTGTGTGGAGAACAGTTAGGAATGCTGGGCTCCGCCTGTGTGGTGTGTGAGGACTGTAAGAAGGTACCGTCACCCTTCTCTCCCCTGCTTCCCCGCTCATCTCATGCACGGGGCCAGCCCTGAGCTCGAGCCAAACCCTGGAGAGCCCTGGGTCCTGGGGATGGAACTTGGATCCTGAAGGGTAGTTGCCAACATATGATTCCTTTGGAGGTGCTCCCATGCCTGACTATCTTCTAGGCAGCCCTGATTCTGGTTCCTGTCCTAGAAAATGCTCTGACTCTTCTGTCCCCTTGGACCTCAGCTCCATCCAGGGTGAACTAGGACTTGAGCTATGGTTAAGCCTCCAAGTGTCCTGGTTGTGGCTGAGCGAGTTATGTATCAGGCTCAAAAGCGTGCCGGGCAGGTGTCTACACCGTGTGTACATGGAAGGTTGGCCCAGCCTCCTCTTACCCTGGCTTAGAAAGCCCCTCTCTGGCCAAGTTAGAGCCATTGGGCTTCTTGAGCATTTGTCCTTGAAGGGGAGTCTTCTGTGCTCCCTCCACCCTGCACCTTCCCTTCAAGCTGTCGGCCCTTGACAGTTCCAGGACACGGATACAACTACCCTTGGTTCTGCTCGATTCTCAAGAGAGGGATTCGGGAGACCACCTGAGCTGGGGACATCCATAATGTCACTTGGCCTCTCCTGCTTGGGGTCCCCCTTAGCATTTAGAATGCAATACTGGGGAAAGTTTATCTAGGCTAAAACACTTACTGGCTGCAGTCAATGAGATAGCAAAAAATTTGTGACCTATTGGGTTTTCCTTTTTGACTACCAGGCAACTCAGCCAAAATATAACGTTCAAACCATCACACAGTCATAGCTTTTATAAGGATAACTTTCTTCTCCTCGGATTGATGAACCTGCAGCCATAGCCCAGGTTAGGTCCAATTCATGGGGAAAGAAAGAAGAACCAAATTAATAAACAAACAAATATATGGGCCTTTCCGCTGGGAAAATCAGGTCCATGATCTCCCCTGTGTGGACGCTGAAAACTTGGACCCCACAGGGACTCTTGGAGAACTCAAGAGAATTTACTCATCCAGTGCTGGAGAGTGACTCCAGTTCTTGTTGTTGGAAAGCAAGACTCAGACTGGAACTTGAATCCTAACTGGCCTTGGCCATGGGAGGGAGGTGAGAAAGAGAGAGTTCAAGCTCTTGATATCCATCAAGAGAGAATAGGGCTCAATTGCCACCCTTCCCAGTCCCTTCACCCCGATCGCTGGCAGCTCAGAGCCTGGCATGTCTGAGTGTGCCCTGGCCTATATTTTGTCCCCAGAATGTCTGCACCAAGTGCGGGGTGGAGACCTCCAATAACCGCCCGCATCCCGTGTGGTTATGCAAAATCTGCATGGAGCAGAGAGAGGTGAGTGCATTAGTCCCATCTGGCTTTGGGGACATGCTTCCGTGTTAGTCCAGCTCCCCCTTCCTCACTGTAACCAGGGGAACAGGGTGGCAGCCGTGGGCTGGGGAACCGGGTAAGGGATTGGTACAGAGGAGCCAGCTCTGTGGTGAACGCTGGCAGAAGAGTGATGTTTGAGTGAATTTCTTTTCTCCCCCTTCCGTTGACTTTTCTCTTCCTAGAAGTAGGGAGTGTACGCATTTAAGAGGTGGAAGGCTTGGAGTCTGCTTACTGTCCTTCCACCTTATAGCAGTTCCTCACCTTTCTGATATTCATCTTTCTTCATCAAGAAAATGGGCATACTTAGACCCTGCTACTGAGTGTTTGGGGGATAGTGTGTGAGTCAGATAGGAATTGTGACAGGCTCTGTACTGTGGGCAGGGAACAATGTATTTTTTTAAAAGATTTTATTTATTTATTTGACAGAGAGAAAGATCACAAGTAGGCAGAGAGGCAGGCAGGGAGAGAGGGGGAAGCAGACTCCCTGCTGAGCAGAGAGCCCGATGTGGGGCTCGATCCCAGGACCCTGAGATCATGACCTGAGCGGAAGGCAGAGGCTTTAACCCACTGAGCCACCCAGGTGCCCCCTGCAGGGAGCAATGTTAAAAACTGGCACTTGTGGTAGCAGGACTCTTAGTGCTTGGCCGCCGTGTCTTCATCCTGTCTTCCCCTAGGTGTGGAAGCGATCTGGAGCATGGTTCTTCAAGGGCTTCCCCAAACAGGTCCTCCCACAGCCTATGCCCATAAAGAAGACCAAGCCCCAGCAACCTGTCAGTGAACCTGCTGCTCCTGAGCAGGTCACCCCTGAGCCCAAGCATGCGGCCCGGGCTCCGAGCCGAGGTAAGACAAAACAACTTCTCCTTTTAAGACCAAGGACACATCTTGGCTAACTGGTCTACCTGGAGGATGTCCTGACATCATGTCTTGTGTTTCCACCTAGCTGGTGGACAGCCAGCCTCAGGGTTTGGGTTTAAGACCCCTTTATCCTCTGCACAGCTTAGAGGAAGAACCCTTTTCGAGAAAGCAGCCCAGGAAACGAGTTGGAGCTTCCTCAAAAAGTTAAAGATAGGGCTACGCTACAATCCAGTAGTCCCACTACTGGGTATTAACCCAAAGAATACAAAAACACGAATTCAGAGGGGTACACGCATCCCGATGTTTATAGCGGCATTGATTACAGTAGCCAAGATAGGGAAGCAGCCTGTGTCCACCAATTGATGAATGAATAAAGAAGACCTGGTAGCCATTAATATAGAGATATACACAATGGAATATTACTCAGCCATAAAAAAGAATGACATCATGCCGTTTACAACAACATGGATGGAGCTAGAGAGTATAATGCTAAGTCAGTCAGAGAAAGATGAACACTGTATGATTTCACTCATATGTGGAATTCAAGAAACCACAAGTGAGCAAAGGGAGGGAGAAAAACCAAGATATAGTCTCTTAACTGTAGAGAACACACTGATGGCTACCAGAGGGGAGCGGTGGGGGATGGGTGAAGGAAGTGATGGGGATGAAAGAGGGCACTTGTCATGATGAGCACAGGGTCTTGTGTCTAAGTGTTGAGTCACTATATTGTACATCTGGGATGAATGTAACACTGCATAGTGAAGTGTAATACAGTGGCACTATCGTATCTTATAGTGCAATATGGTAACACTGTTGTAAAATGGTGAAATTAAAATAAAAACTTTTTTTTAAAGATTATTTATTTATTTATTTATTTGACAGACAGAGATAGGCAGAGAGGCAGGCAGAGAGAGGAAAGGAAGCAGGCTCCCTGCTGAGCAGAGGTCCCGATGTGGGGCTCGATCCCAGGACCCCGGGATCATGACGTGAGCTGAAGGCAGAGGCTTTAACTCATGGAGCCACCCAGGCGCCCCTAAAATAAAAACTTTTTAAAAGGAGAGGGCCACACAGGGAACTCTCCAGCAATGTCAGGCGGCCAACAGCTTTTGTTGTCATCTCTGATGGAGTATTTAGAGATACCACAGAGGTGGAAATTAAAATTAGAAACTGAGAGACTCCCTTCATCGTGGTATACACTGGAGCCTGAGTGGGACTTGCTGGGAAGGCCTTCCTTGTCCCTGCAACTCCTGTCAACCATCAGCGGAGCATCTGAAATTGTACTAATTAAAAGCGGAAGATGAATAAAAGGGAAATTACTAAAAGGAAATTACCATGGCTATAGATATTATCATCCTTATCCAAGTAATATTATTAGTAAAATGAATGATAAAAGGGAGAGGCAAAAAAGTAAAAAAGAAGAAAAAAAGCAACTCCAATACGAACATGTTTTAATTGCCTGGGACAAGTAGGCTTGACCAGACGAGGCCCCTGTAATGACCTCAGTGAACACTAAGTGATAAAATCTGGTTTGAATGTCAGTTCTGGAGTTCCGTGCTGGCAATGCTTCTGAAAGGTAGGTTGTAGTCGAAGGTCTCCGAGTTGAAATGTCTGACTGGGTCTCCCATAAGATGACTTCTCAAGGGGTCCTGTACAGTGCCTGGAACTCAAAACACATCTGCCAGATGCTTTCTTCCTAACATGGCCCAAGCCAGGTCTATTCCTTGCAGAGAATTACCGAATTCTCAATATATACTATGTCCCCAAGGAGCCCCTAGTCTCACCTCCAGAACAGACTTCTTCCTGGTTAAGCTTTCCCCTCTGTAGACTGAGAAGACTGCACAGCCTCACCGTCAAGATCTGGGACATCTGAGACCAGGAGGACCTGAATCTCAGTTCTAGCTCCGCAAGTCACCTAGCCCTCTGAGATTCTCCTCGTCTGTGAAATGGGGTTAATAACTCACTGAGCTACTGTGAAAATTAAATGAGATACTAGATGGTAGGTGCTTTGCAGAATGTAGTGCTTAGTAAATATTAACCAATATCATATAATGTTAAAGACACAAACACACACATCAATAGTATGAATTAGCTTATCAGATAAACTCTGGACAAAGCAAGTAACTCCCAAACCATTCATATCACTAGAAAGAAAACGTCACCAGCATTGCACAGTGACACATGAAAAATTATTGGTGGTAACATTCAGTGGTGGTGAAGGTGGGGGACATGGGTACTTCACAAACTGTTGGTAAGACTATAAATCGTCTCCAGCCTTTCAGAAAGTGTTATGGCAGAATTTATTAAAATTCAAAGTGTACGTCCCATATGATCGAGCAGTTTCTCTCTGGGAATATATCTAGCAACAATCAAAGGGCCAATATAAACAGATATTTGTGTAAGTATATTCACTGTATCCTTATTTATGGTAGCAAAACCCCTGGAAAACCCTAAATGTTCATTAATGGGATTGTTTAATGGATGATGGTACAACCACACCATGCTATATTAGGCCTCTTTTAAAATCTAATGATGGAAATGTGTATTATAGATTTGGAATGATGCCCACGTTAGAAGCTTTCTATACTCTTTTAACAAACCCTTACTGAACACCCAGTGAGTTCCAGACTCTGTTCTGTGCCCCAGGACTACAGTGTTAAGTGGAACAGACAAGATCCTTGCCCTCAAGCAGCTAAAATTGTCCTGGGGAAAACAGATACTTGACAAACAGCACGGGCAAATACCATGTAATACCAGATAGTGATGGGGTCCAGACGACAGATGAAGCAGGTGAAGGGGACAGGTGTGGCAGGAGGCTCCGTGTTGGATGGAAAGGTCACAGAAGGGCCGTCTGAGGAGCTGGTAGAGAGGGCTTATGGAACATTTGGGAATGTCACGTGCAAAAGAACCTGAGATTGGAGCATGCCTGGTGAGTCCTGGGGAAACTCAAGCGAACAGAGAACATTCTAGAACAGTTTGTATGATCATTGGCTAATGATCCCAGTTTGTTCTTTTTAAAACTTGTGCGTGCTCACACGGGCTCATGCATGCAAAGGAAATCTTGTGAAATAGTAAACGGGAGCTACATCCCAGGGGAAGTTGGGAGAGGGACTCCGGCTCATTTTATAAAAGTTCCTGAGAGTGGCAGGAACTTTGTGCGCTCCGTAAGCAAGGGCTCACCCAAAACCGTAAAACAAGGGCTCCCCCATCATCTCTCTCTCTCTCTCTCTCTCTCTCTCTCCAGGTGACACTGAAGACAGGAGGGGCCCAGGTCAGAAAACAGGTGGGTCCTGCTGACTCTGTCTTATATTTTGGGACCGGAGCCCTTCTATCCTTCTATCCCATCCCTCTGTTGCCCTTTCTCCATTTAACGTGCGATTTCCCCTCCACGTCCTGAACCAGCCTCCGCTCCCGGGCGAGGAAGCTATGGGCCTCCTGTGTGCAGGGCCTCCGACGCACGCATGAGCTCAACTAGCCGGGACTCAGAGAGCTGGGACCACGGCCACGGTGGGGCTGCCGGCGACTCCAGCCAGGGCCCAGCAGGTAGGAGACATGAGCAAATCCAGACAGGCTTCCTGGATGAGGAGAATCCAAAGGAATGGGGGTGATAGTGTTTTAGTCCATGTATTCTGTATTTATTGAGCATCTGCTATGTGCCACATTCCATTCTAGATGCTGGAAAGACAACTGAGAAACAATTCTGCCTCTAAACAGATATGTTTGATAATATCCATTTCCTGCTCTAATGCCAACTGTCAGGAAAAGGTAGGGGGACTTCCTATCCTCCCTGGAAGCCCTGAGGAAAATGCAACGTGTCTCTGAGCAGAGTTGAGACGCTTCCCTCTCACAGACTCACTCAAGTTTTTTGTTCTCTTAGCCAGTGGCCTCTGCTGTCCACGAGATGGGGTCGGTCAGCGTGGCCAGGATGTCGCTCATAGCTGCTCTCTGCTCACTGGTGCCCAGTGCCTCTGGCTGCATTTGCAGGGGATTTATTTGCCAAGAGTGCCCACCGGTGGGAGTCCTTGATTCATGGACTTTGGGGAAAATGTCTGCTGGATGAGAGAGATCAAAGCTCCCTGCCTCCTGTGGGATCCCTTAGAGCCACTTCATTTCCTTTTTAAGCAAGGACATGAGACTGTGTCCAAACTTGGATGGGCTGAATATTCAGGTCCCATATTGACCTCTGGCTTCTCTCCCTCAATAGTGGGTCTGCAGCTTAGACCCATAGTCCCTCTTCTTCTTGGCAAGAGAGCTGGGCACGTACCCTGTGCTTAATCCACTCTGCACACCCCCTAATGAACCTGTGATTCATATTCATAGAGAAAGGAGGATTTCTCAGCTCTGCAACATCACGGAATATTTGTTTTCTACTTACTATGGGCCAGATGCTGGCCCAAGCTCTTCTCGTAGAACATCTCCTTTAATCCTTGTCACAGCCCCAAACCCTGTTATGAAGACTTCTATTATTCCCATTTTACCAGTGGAGACACTGAGCTCAGAGAAGTGATGCCACTGGCCTGAGGTCACACAGCTGATCATTGGTTCCAATGGAAATTAAACCCATGTCTGTCCAACATCAAAGCTTGTGCTTGTTTTTCTCTTCTGGAGGTGAAGTTTTTAACAGTGCTTTTTTAAAAAAAGCATCTTTTTAAATGGTGGTAAAATATACTTAATATTAAATTTACCATTTTAATTACTTTTAATAGTAGCATTAAGTGCATTCACACTGTCATGCAGCCATCGCCACTAACCAGCTGCAGAGCCATTTCATCCCCAACTGAATCTTTTACCCATTAAACTATAATTCTGCATTCCATTTTCCCCCAGCCCCTGGTAACCACTAACCACTATGGATTTGCTTATTCTTGGCATCTCATATAAGTGGAATTACACAGTATATGGCCTTTTGTGACTGGCTCCTTTCACTGAGCATCCTGTGTCCAGGGTTCATTCATGTTGTGGTATGTATCACAACCTGGAATTCCTTTTTTTAAAAAATATTTTATTTATTTATTTGACAGAGATCACAAGCAGACAGAGAGGCAGGCAGAGAGAGGAGGAAGCAGGGTCCCCGCTGAGCAGAGAACCTGATGTGGGGCTCGATCCCAGGACCCTGGGATCATGACCTGAGCCGAAGGCAGAGGCTTTAACCCACTGAGCCACCCACGCACCCCCAGAATTCCTTTTTAAGGCTAGATAAGATCCCCATGCATGGATAAACATTTTGTTTATCCATTCATCTGTTGATTGATCTTTGGGTTGTTTCCACATTTTGACTGTTGTGGATAATGAACATTGGTGTGCAAATATCCGTTTGAATCCCTGCTCTTAATTTGGGGGGATCTATCCTTTGAAGTGAGATAGCTGGACCATATGGTAATTGTATGCTTAATTTTCTTAGGAACCATCCATTCTATGTTCTATAGCAGCTTCACCAGTTTACATTCTCACCAGAAATGCACAAGGGTTCCAGTTTCTCCACATTTTCACCAACATTTGTGTAGTATGTGTATGTGTGTACCCATCCTAATGCGTGTGAATGGGTATCTCATATTTTTTATTTCCATTTCCTTGATGATTAGTGATGTTGAGCATCTTTTCTCAACTCATTGGCCATTTGTATATTTCCTTTGGAGAAATGTCTGTTCAAGTCCTTCGCCCATTTTTTAATTGGGATGTTTATTTTATTATTGTTGAGTTATGGGAGTTCTTTATATATTGTGGATATTAATCCCTTTCCAGATCTATAATTTCTCAGTATTTTCTCCCATTCTGTGGGTTGCCCTTTTGCCCCAATGATAGTGTCCTTTGATGCACCAAAGTTTTTAATTTTGACAAGTCCCATTTTTCTTTTGTTTTATGTGCTTTGGGTATCATATTCAATTACTCCAAAGATTTATTTATTTATTTATTTGAGAGAGAAAGAGCATGCAGTGGGGAGGGGCCGAGAGAGAGAGAGAATCTCCATCTCACGACCCTGAGATCATGACCTGAGCTTAAACCAAGAGTCAGGTGCTCAACCAACTGAGCCACCCAGGCGCCTCCCTCTTTGATCCATTTTTAGTTAACTTCTGTATATGAAGCCTGTGCTTTTAGTCTCTGTATTATTTTGCCTTTTGAAGGAAAAGACAGTCACACAACACTCCTGAGCCAGATTTGAACCCCTGTCCCTCAAGAGTCAGTGTAAATGCTATTGCCATCTAGGAAGCTTCTAGCATCCACCTGCCCCATCTTGAGCTGAGTTCATTGCTCCCGCCCCTGAGTTCCCAGGGGACTGACACTCAGCTCTAATTAGTGCTTGTCACTATGTTTACTAAAACATAGTAAAGCTAGAATCTCTTTCCCTGAGAGCAGTAGAAGACAGGGGATCAGTGTATCCATGTACCTTAGGTGTGTGTTAAAAGCGCTTGTTCCTCTGCCCCACTCCAGACCTACTAAATCAGAACTTCTGGGGTCAGGAACCAGACTATGCACTTCTTAAGCATACTCTTCCAGTGATTTCTGTGAATGTCAAAGTTTGAAAACCATTGCTCAAGAGCCTGAAAAGTTAGATATATGAGTTTGGATGTTTTCTTGAAGGAGCTAGGGAGCCACAGAAGGATATTGAGCAAAGGGCCAGCATCTTGTATTTTTATATCATTCAAACATCCCACAGTATGACGACTCAAGTCCTAGCTGGGGGCACTGAGGTTACTCAGAGGGGCCTGTTGCTCCTGCCACCTAGTGCTACCTAACCTCTTCGTACCGTCTGCAGAAGGGAGGATTGCAACCCTTCCCGATCTCCTGTGGCCCAGATGCCCTTGCTGTGTAGTAAAAGGCTCAGTCATGCCGGCAGCCCTTGGTGATGAGCCAGACTAAGCCCCAGAGGGAATTCCATCAGGAGTTCTGAGGGTGACTTGCAACTCAGGTCCCAGATCCTCAACAAGAATCAAGTCAGCTCTGCATGTCCCATTCAGTAATCCTGACACCTCCCAGTGCCCCCTTCTTTGCAGATCTGGGACATGGAGTTAGTGCCTTGGAATAAACCAAAATCATCCCGACTTTTCTTTAGGCTGCAGAGTTTTGTCTGGGCATCGATAGCCCTTTCATGTTGGTATGCCCAAACTCCAAGTCCAAACCCCACCTGCACCAGGAAGCTCTTCCCGTCCCCCCGCCAAAGGTTGCCTCTTGCCTCCATCCCCTGCGATGCTCCTTATTTACCTCTATGGCCATTTCAGTTCAGTGTCAAGGGCACAAACACCAGAACAGAGACTGTGTGGGGTCAGATCTCAGCTCCACCACCTGCCAGCTGCGTGTTCCCATTTTACAGATCAAGACAGCAAGCTTTCAATTATTGTAAAATGAAAAGAATGGCAGTAATCAGTCTTATCTTCTGGAGTTGCTGTAAAGGGTTAAGTGAACTGAAACCTCACAGTGGTCCTTGTAAAGTTCTCGGAGCACAGCCTGGCATGCCATGGGACCCCAGGGTGCATGATTATTCACTTTCTACCTCCTGGGGCAGGTATAACATAACCTGCCCCAGGTTATTTTTGGAGTCAGACGAACGTGGTTGAAGGTCCTAGCCACTTCCAAGCTAAGTGACCTCGGGCACACTTGAACTGCCATTTTCTCTACTGCAAAATGGGGACCACACATGACTTTGAGTTCTGAGGGTTCCAGGAAGTGATGCTTATGGCCTGGCGCATCTGAACCACTCAGTGGATGTGGGCTATTACTGCTGTTTTATAAGCTCATTATCTCAGTGTCTGTCTCCTTCCTCTGGACCATGCATTCTTAGAGGAATTAAGATAGGTTTTGTCCATCTTTTCTAGGGATTGGCTCTTGGTAGACATTGAATGAGCGAGTGAGTGAGTGAATGAATGAATGAACGAATGAACGAACAAGGACCCAAATGAACAAACCACAGTGCTACTGCAGGACCCCAGCCAGAGGTGGCAAATCACCTTCTGTCATTAGCATTCAAGCACCCCTCCAGTGACAAAGAGCTGAATTCAGGAAAGGTGGGATCCAGACCAGTGAAATGCACAAGGACAGAGCTTTCTTCCAGAAATGTCATACCTTCTGGATGTATGTACACAGGAACTGCTGTGTACATTATCCCCTTTGATCCCCCAGTAGCTGCGCAGGAGACAGTAGCATCTGATGGTCTCAGGCAGAATCTAGAGACCAAATGCTTGAATTCAAACCCTGGCTCTGCCACTAACCAGTAAGGAGACATTAGTGAGCTCCTTAGCCCTCTGTGTCCAGCTTCCCCATTTGTAAAATGGAGATAATAAAGCACCCACTTCATGAGGTATAGAGATTAAATAGGTAATCTGTAAAGTCCCTGAAACATGGAACATGGTAAGCATTAAATAAATGTTAAGTTGTTATTATCCTATAGACAGAGCTGTTGCCTCCATGAGACATTTAAGGTTCAGAGAAGGTGAATGACCAGCCCAAGTCACACAGTTTATATGAGAAGCTGGAGGCAGAGCTAGGTCTGTGTGAAAATGGAGACCAGAGTCAACAATAATAATATTTAGGGCATCTGCGTGGCTCAGTGGGTTAAGCCTCTGCCTTCAGCTCGGGTCATGATCTCAGGGTCCTGAGATTGAGCCCCGAATCAGGCTCTCTGTTCAGCAGGGAGTCTGCTTCTCTCTCTCTTTCTGCCTGCCTCTCTGCCTACTTATGATCTCTCTCTCTTTCTGTCTGTGTCAAATAAATAAGATCTTTAAAAAGAAACCAATAATAATATTTAGAGTTTACTCCATGCCAGGTGCTATTCTGGGCCCTTTGCTTGTACTATACCATAGCATCTCTGTGCAACCCTAGGAGGGAGGTACTATTATTCCCATTTTGCAGATCAGGAGACAGAGGCCCAGAGAGGACAGGACACTTGCAGAAGGTCATACAGGTGGAGACAGCATCATGAAACCTTTGCTTTTTGGCCCCCGTGTCACTCCTGTGACTTGCACAGGGGGTCTGAGTGTTGAACAGAGAGAAAGCACGGAGAGGAGGAGGGGTCTGCACTCAGTTCAAACCCAGAAGGCATTGTCTCATGCCAGCAGACCAGTTCCAGGCTTCCTCCTGCTTCCACTCTGTGTCTGCATGTGAGAGTATGTGCGCGCGCACACGCAGAACAAGACAGGTTCTTTCTTTTCCCCTGCAGGTTTGCGACGGGCCAACTCCGTGCAGGCCTCCAGACCCGCCCCCGCCACCATGCAGAGCTCCGCACCGCCCCAGGCTGCACAGCCAGGTACCTGCCGCCTGCCCACCCAGACTGTCACTCAGCTGGGACCCCGGTGTCTCCTGTCCTTGCTTCCAGAGCCTGCCCGGCTTTCTGAAAAGCCACAGCCACCACCAAACCCTCAGCTCTGCAAAGACCCTGACCATGAGTAATCCTCCAGGTGGGGAAGATGGGCACAAGTGAGAGGGGACCAACGGACCCACGTTGACAGGCTTCTTAGGCACTGTCACTCCCTTTCACAGTCCTTACCTCATGCACCTGCCACATGCCTTCTTACTTCATATCTTTCTTGAAATTGATTCACTTGAAAAACGCAATGGAGAGAACTTGCTATCGCAGACTCTCTCTCAAGGAAGTGCTATGGACCGATGTTCCCAGAACAGCAGTGTGAGAGTCAGGAGGACATGGTGACCAAAGAGATGAGTAATATGGAAAAATCCATACGAATATGGATTGCATAAAACAGTAGCAATAATGCCTGACTGGTGCAGTTAACATTGTGTTATTTTAAGAGGAACCTGTAATAGTGCCATAAATGAGAACCCAGTATCCCATGTCCTAAAGACACGGCGCAGTTTGCTAGGGCTATCCTAACAAAGTATCATGCACAGAGTGGCCTAAAAGTACAGATATTCATAGTCTCACAGTTCTGAAGTCCAAAATCAAGGTGCTGGCAGGGGTGGCTCCTCCTGGAGGCTTTAGGGAGAATTCGCTCCACGCCTCTCTTCCTAGCTCCCGGTGGCCCACAACTTCCTTGGCCGGTTGGAGGCCTTCTCCCTGTGTCTTCACACCGTCTTCCTTCTACATACATCTCTGTGTCCAAATCTCTCCTTTTTTTAAGGACATAGTCGTCTGGTGTTAGGGCCCACCCTGATGACCTCATCTCATCTTGATCATCTACAGAGACTCTCTTTCCAAATAAGGCCACGTTCAGAGGGACTGGGGGTTAGAACTTCAGCATCCTTTGGGGAATTCAGTTCAACCCATTGCAGGGGGTAATTATAAAAATTAATGCAATGAAAATAAAGCCGTGCAGTGAGACTGTCCGTATGCTGGCCTGCTGCAGGTTCTGAGCCCGAGGCCTGTTCTTTTCTGCTCGAAAGGGACATTCACAAAAGTTAGAGAGGTGTCAGAGATGAAGTAGCACCTAGATGAGACGTTTCCATGATGGAGTCGGTATTGACAGGCAGTGGGAACCGAAATGACTTTCTTGCTGTATGTTTGAACGTTACTCCAAGCCCCCTCCCTGTGGCTCTCCCTTGCATCCCATGCTATGGGAAATGTAGTTGTAAAGAATCCACTGGACCAGGACTGATCCCATAGTGATGGATGATGGAGTCAAGGCATAAATCTGCATATCACCTCACAACAATTCCAATTCCATTCATTTATCAACTTTGTAGCAGTCGGTGAGACGCAAAGAGCGGGTGCAACCATCCCCATTTCACAGAGGAGGAAGCTGAGGCCCAGGAAGGAAGCACTGGGGCTTGAACCCAGGTCTTTCTGACCTCAGAGTCCCCCAGTGGGACCATTCCTGCGTCCCTGGGTGCCTGTGGCCATCACCTGCTGCCTTCAGGCCTATGTCCACAGTCCGTAAATGAAGGGGGATGGGGAAGAACACCCAAATGATGTCACCTTGTCTGCTCTGTCCCTCTCTCTTTCCCCATTCAGGGCCTCCAGGAGGTAGCAAACCCGGCCCTGGACCCACAGGACGCTTTCCAGATCAGAGACCAGGCAAGTGTTCCTTTCTTCCCCCACACCTGCCCAGTGGGCACCCCTCTTCCTGTGAGACAGCAGGGGCTGCCAGACCTTTACCCCTCTGTGCCCAGAGACCCATCTGATGAGCTCTGAGGGGTCTCCCTAATTCCAAAACTCTAGATGGTCCTCACTAAGATGACATAGCTAGAAAAGGACAGCACATGCAGTGGTTAAGAACACAGACTGCCTGAATTCAAATCCAGGCTCCTTTCCTTGCTAGCTGTCAAGTCACTTAACTTCCCTGAGCCTCTGTTTCCTTATGTCTAAAATGGGAATAACCTCCCAGAGTCGATGGGAAGATTAAACAAACCAAGACATATAAAACCTTAGCCCATGGCCTGGAGTGGATTAAGTTCATGCTGAGTGACGGTGGTTCTTCGTATGAGGTGTATGATTCATCATCAGTTACTAGAGCTATGGCTTATCATTGCTTTCTAGCTCACCAGGTACTGTTTTAAGTGCCATCCATGTAGTAATTTTTTTAAAAGAATAGCTGCTAGTTTTGAGCACCTCCAGGTATTATAATTCCCATTTTACATGTGAGGAAACTGAGGCTCAGAGACATTAAGTAACTTGCCCCAGGTCACACAGCAGAGATTCAAACCCAAGCCGTCTGGCTGCAGAGCCTACACCACTGATCAGTACCCCCATAAGATCTGTTTTGCCTGCATCTAAATCAGCTTATGGGACTTGTTCTCAGACCCAGACTCTAAGGCCCATGGCACTGCCTACTGAGTCTGGGTGGGGCCCGAGAACCTGCATTTTTGCAAGCTTCCCTAGGTGGTTTTGATAAAGGCAACATTCAGAGGACCCGTGAATAACATGATGTGGTCCCCCCTCCCTTTCCCCTGTCAGCTGGTTGTGGCGATCCCCCATGGCTGGGCTGGGTGGTTCTGGTACTTTGCCAAGCACATGGTATACAGTAGGTGCTTATCACTAGCGGTAACATTGCAGCAGTTGCTGATGTCACCACACAGAGACTCAGCTGACTCTTTCCCGCCCTCTCCCCATCTCCCCTGCAGAGGTGGCTCCCGGTGACTCTGGCTATGCCGGGGCCACTGCCCCGCCAAGGGAGGAGAGAACGGGGGGAGTTGGGGGCTACTCAGCAGCTGGAGCCAGGGACGACCGAGCAGGCCCCCCAACGGGCCCCTATTCCCAAGCCTCTGCTGCTGCCCCCCAGCCTGCCGTGGCCCCTGCCCGCCAGCCCCCACCCCCGGAGGAGGAGGAGGAAGAAGCCAACAGCTACGATTCGGATGAAGCAAGTAGGTGGCACTTACGGGAGGAGTGTCTGGGGAGAGTCACTTCGGGGTGTCGTCCCCGGGGGCAGAGGAACAGGCCCCTGTATGCCAAGCCTAATAAACATACCAACCAAGTTATAAAGATATGGGTTTGTGTTACTAACTTCACAAAGCAACATCAGCTTTCTAAAGAATAGATGCTATGTGTATTTTTATTGTGATAAACACGGAACGTCAAAGTTACCGTCTAAATCATTTTAAAGAATATGGTTTGACTATATTTGCGATGTTCAGTTTGGCGGTTCCTCAGTGAGTCAGACAGAAGTATCGTATGGCCCAGCATTTCACGTCTTTCTTTCTAGCTATATGTATGTACTTTGATAGCCTCTACAACTCTTCAATGTATATCTTCTAGAAGATATACGCTACCATAATTTAAAAATTCCTACACATTTCCTCCTACATCCATCCCTTCAATGACTTGTAAAGTGCCTGTTCTGGGCCTTGCCCACTCAGACCCAGAGTCCTAGGGACACACATGCACACACACACCCCAGTGACACTCATCGCGGGTGTGTCCGAGCAGCAAGTGAGAGCTGCGATGGCCTTTGTGAGCTGGAGGGAGACATGGATCGACGAGTGTCTGGATCTAATATGTGTTGTGGGGTTGGGAGCACTGCAAGAGCTTCTAGTCAAGGGGACAGACAGGACACAGATGGAAGAAGTGACCCACAGTCATTATCAGTGGCCTGGCTTTGACCCATCCTGTTGCCTCTCCTTGATGGAAAATGGGAGAATATTCCAGGCAGAGGCAAAAGCAAATGCTCAGACCCATTTCTTCCTGTAGTGACTATGTGAGCACCAACTGTGTGCTCTGTACTGTCTCCAGTGGGGACACAGCAGTCACAGCCCTTGCTGTCAGGGGGCTCTTGGTCTAGCAGGATGGGAAGTCAGTAACTAGGCAGTTGCACACACGATTAAGTGAGAGTGATCACAGGTGTCCTGAGGACTCTGAAGGAAAGGAGGGTCTACCAGGATGGGGTGTCCAGAGCAGGGACCGAGTCTTCCCCTCTGTAGGCTCAGTGCCTCCACCAGACTGGGCACATAGTAAGTGCTCGGGAAATGTTTGCCGAGTGACTGAACGAATATTCTCTTGGTTCCTGCCTCCCCCAGCCACCCTGGGTGCCCTGGAGTTCAGCCTTCTCTACGACCAGGACAATAGCTCCCTGCACTGCACCATCATAAAAGCCAAAGTAAGTGAGAGGCCAAGCTGGGGAGCACTCAGAATGCTCAGGCATGTCTCAGGGACTTGGGGATGGCGTGGGTGACCGGGCCTATGTGTGACAGTGACAGTGATGAGAAAGGGGCAGGACATAGCCGTGGATGCTTCCTTTGGAGGACTTCCTTCCGGGGGGTGGGCGCCGGGGGTTTCACGGGGCTGTAGCTGCCTCCTGGGAGTGGAGGGGTGGGGGAAGGGCACCCATTGTTGCCAATACTGGGACATCTCCGTGCTGCGGACTCCGGAGGGAGTGATCCAACTCAACTCCAGACCCGGAGGAGAGCTGGATGATGCCAGCACCCATCCCAGAAAGTACTGACTGGAGTCCCCCACCCCACTTCACCCCCCCAACCCCTGCTGCAAGCCTGGCACATGTGGAAGCAGAAGCAGGGCTCAGGAAGCAGACTTCCTGGGTTCAAACACTAGCTCCATTGCTCTCAGCTGTGTGATTTGGGCAAAGTTACTCAACCTCTCTGAGCCCCAGTGTGCCGTTTGTAAATCCGGGATAATAATGCTCCTCTCCCATAAGGATGACAGAGTATTAAGTGTAAGGTGGCCACATGTTCCTGTTTGCCTAGGACAGTCCTTAGCCAATCCCTGTGACCCTGCCGGAATAATGAAAAGCTCCCCTTTTTGCTCATAATATGTCCCGGTTTGGATGATAAACGAGGCTAAAGCTTAGCACAACTCCTGGATCAACACGCCCAGGGCACATCTTCAGCAGGTCTTTCTGAGCACCTGTTCTGTATCAGTGCCTGCAGCGAGCACTTACATGCCCCAAGAGCACAGTGAGGTCAGCACATTCATTGGCTCTGGTCATCCTCCTGAAAACCTTGGAGGTAGGGACCATTATTAGCTCCATTTTACAAATGGGGAAACTGAGTCTCAGCAAAGTAAAGCCTGAGGTCACACAACTGGTAGGGGAAGAGCTGATTTGCACCCAGATGTAATGGTTTTGCTTTCGGCCCATTCATTCAGTCCCCTCCTTCAGCTCCAGCCATGGGGGAAAGCCACACCCTCACCACCCCTCAAGACTGGGTACAGAAAACCCACCTGCTCTCGGGCTGGGCAGGTGACAGATACGAACAAAGTGTGTGAGATGTTCGGCTGTGGGATTAGCTTTGGTAAACTGGCATGAGCCGCCCCGAACAGAGATGTTCAAGTTCAGATTTTAAAAGCGTGGTGTCTGCCAATTTGCAGACTTGCAATCCCAGTAGTCATTCCAGAAATGTTCATTATATGCCTACTCTGTACCAGGCACTTCCTAAAAGCTGGGGATCCTAGCATGAACTAGAACTGGGCCCTGCCTTCACCGACTTCATGTCGGGGAAACGGCCCAAAGACTGTGGCCGTGGCATTTCCTGAGTATTATAGGCTTTCCACGATGATTTCATTCTGCTTAATCTTCACAGCAACTTATGAGGAAGGTTCTATCATCAATCCCATTTTACAGACAACAAAACTGAGGCACAGAGCTTAAGTGACTTGCCCAGATCACATACCAGGAAGTGGCAGAGTTGGGATTTGAACCCAGGAACTCCTGCTCAAGAGCCTGTGCTCTTACCCATGAGGCTATTCTGCCAGCTTTCCCCCTTATCCCCCACTTTGTGGCACCCTCTCCCCATTGTCCACACCCACTAGTTCCAGACCCAGAGCTCACCCTTCACAGGTGAGGTCTCAGTTAATCCCCCAAGAACCCCATGAACAGGGGCTGCGAACAGTCCCACTGAACAGATGGGGAAACTGAGGCCACAAAGATGCATGGCTTTGGGATTAGTACTATGAGAGAGGATAGCAGGAGCCTAGAGGTGGGAACACCTGCCCAGCCCTAGCATAGGACATTGGACAGAGTATGTCTGGGCTCCAGGAATTTGGAGTTTTGCTCATATTAACAAGCCCAGTTTAATTACTACCCCAGGAAAACTCCTTTCCCCCATGGTGTCTCACTCAAGCCTCATTCAAGCCCAGGGGGTGGGGGGGCCAGACAGATCCTGTGTTCCCCATTTTATGGATGGAAAAACTGAGGTCTCCGAAATGAGTTTGGGGCCAGGGCCAGAACTCAGGCCCCCTTTCCCCAGCTTCTCCTTCTCTCCCATCCTTGTTCTGGAACATTTCCTTCCATGCTAAGAACAACAGTCTAGCCTTGATGCAGAAATCAGTGTGCGTCAGGCTCTGTGCCCAGCACTTCACAGGTAGAACCATGTTTAAGTCTTAACCACTCTGTGAAGCAGGTACTGTTATCCCCTTTGACAGAGGAGGAAAATGAGGCTCAGAGAGGTTAAGGAACTTGCCTAAAGTCACACAGCTGGGAATTAACATGGCCAGGCTCCAAACCCCGTTTGCCTGATTCCAGCATTCTTCCCAGCATACTTAATTTCCCTCCTCTGTCTTTGGAAGAGGAAGCACACGGGAGGACCGATGGGCAGGACAGATGCCAGGGGCTGTGCCCATTGCCTGTGACAGTTGAGTACCAGGCCCTCCCAAGGCCCTTCATGCTGTTGCCTTTTCTGTTGCAGGGACTGAAGCCCATGGATTCCAATGGCTTGGCTGATCCCTACGTGAAGCTGCATCTCCTGCCGGGAGCCAGCAAGGTACCATATGGCCTGGACCTCTCAGCAGACTGGGCACATGGGCCCTGGCAGGCACCCAAGGTTCCCAGCTCAGAGCCTAAAATAGCCCCCCTAACTGGCCCCAAACCCCCTCCTTCCTGAGTGGCAAAGTCCTTGCAAGGGGTATGGGGTAGACCATGAGTTACTCCCCTTCGAGGGGCAGGTGCTCTGCCCATGTCTCCAGCCAAGAAATGGGGGCTCCAGGGAGCTGCCGAAGGCCAGGAGAGAAGCAGAAGCCCCAGTTAGGCCATCCGCCTGCTCAGATACCTTCAGTGGCTCCCCAGTGCTGACCGTGGCTCACCTCCCCCACCCACTTTATGTCCCATCCAAATGCTTCTCCTCTCCAAAGAGAAATGAATAACTCTCTCCAGGCCGTAGTGCTAAGCACCTGAGAAAATGTTTGTTACGGAGCAAAGATGCTCTGCTGCTCGCTCACCTCCATATCTCTACCTTGCTCTGGGGAGGGACAGTGGAGTTAATTCTCCTCTTTTTGGATGGATGCACTCAGAGCACATGGCTAGAAATGAAAGGGTGCTTTCTTGGATTTTATTTTCTGCTTTGTTGTGTTAATTTGACATGTATGTCCCCAAAACAAGGGTGACCGTACACTTGGTTGCATGATCTTGGGAAAATGGCCATTAAAAATCTATGCAAGTATGAAATGCCCCATGACACAAAGAGGACACACATGTATGCATTCACATACACACTGTCTCTCACTTTTTCTTTCTTTGGATCAAGAAAGGAGAGTCCCTCTCATGGGCATGACCAAACTGTGAAGTGTTTGGCCACTATTCTTTCTGACCCACCAGTGACATTTGCTTCTCCTCAATACTCTCTTCTTTGCTCACACCCAAATCCAAACTGGCTTTGCCAAAGTGTCCAGTGAGTCATTTACATGTTAGTATGAATTAGATTTGCTACCGGGCCACCTCTTCTGGATATAGTGCATTTTTAGCTGTCTTCCTTAGAGTAAAATGAAAACCTTGTCCGCTAAGGACTTTTAGGCATGGAGGATGTTATTTGGGGAGACAGAAGAAACCATTTCAATACCTCCCAGAAATTGTTTTTTCACTGCCTATAAGTGGGTGACTCTTTATTTCTGCCTTTCTGACCTATAAATCACTTTTTTTTTTCTCATGCTTTCTAATCTTAGTGGAAAGTTCAAAGAGAGGGCCCTGCACATGGAGGGAGGGGTGGCCCAGTGCCCAGTACTGATGACAGCTGTAGCAACATGGGCTATGCTCTCCACTCACTGAAAGCGTGCATTTGGGAGCAACTGGGCCCCCAGACACTTGTAAGGGGAGCAGACTTCTACATCACCCACCCACCCACCCCAAGTCAACCCAAAGGATGGGGCTGCAGGGCTGGCTTCCCACCAAGGCAGGTGTCTGTCTATCTCTCTGGGCTCTAGTCCAACAAGCTTCGTACGAAAACTCTGCGAAACACCCGGAACCCTGTCTGGAATGAGACCCTTGTCTATCACGGCATCACAGACGAGGACATGCAGAGGAAGACGCTCAGGTACCTGTGGGTGGTCGGGGAGGGGACTGAGGCCAGGCAAATGGAGAAGAGGGGCCAGAGGCCACTCTTGAAAATATATCTGCATAGTTTCTTTCTTTCTTTTTCACCTCTATAAAAACAATATACGTTTCTGGTAGAGACTTTTGAAAATACAGATAAAACTCTTAACATCTTGGTGTCTGGACGTTCAGGTCATATGTGTATTTATTTGTGTGTGTGTGTATGTGTATTTACAATGTGTGCAGATGTTTCTTATAAAATTAAGTGTTCTAAACACAGATGGTTCTAATAATTAATCAGCCTCTTTTAACACTATATTGATGCCATTTAATATTCTTTATATTCTTCTCCAGTGTTCTGTTAAATTGCATTTTTAATTATGCAAGTAATAAGCAAATACACGTTTCTTGTGAATAAAAACTTACAGAGAAGGCAAAGCTCCTTTTAAATGTTAGTCCCCAGGATGCGTGGGTGATTCAGTCAGTTAAGCATCTGCCTTCAGCTCAAGTCACAATCCCAGGGTCCTGGGATCGAGCCCCGAGCCCCCGATCAGTGGGACTGATCCCTGCTCAATGGGGAGTCTACTTCTCCCTCTCCCTTTACCCCCTCCCCTGCTCACTCTCTCTCCTGCTCTCTCTCTTTCCCCTGCGTGCTTGCTTTCTCTCTCAAATAAATAAAAGCAATCTTTTTTAAAAATTAAAAAAAAAATGTCAGTCCCCTCCACCAGTCTGGGTCCACTCCCTCCCTCCGTGAATGTGTGCCTATTCCTACTACTGCTTACAACCTAGAAAGTACCATGCTGTATAGATCTGGAACTTACCTTTTCTCTTAATATTGTATCTTAGAGTTATAGCTCTGGGAAGACATTTAGATCTGCCAAATATTTGACTGCTTCAGTGTGTTACACAGAACGATTTATCACAAATTTTAAAAAATGTTTTATCATTAAATATTACAACCGTACAGAAAAGTGTAAACGTAATAAAACAAACATCCATAAACTCAGCTCTCAGTATTTTTTTTAAATTTAATTTAATTTTTTCAGTGTTCCAAGATTCATTGTTTATGCACCACACCCAGTGCTCCATGCAGTCCGTGCCCTCCTCAATACCCACCACCAGGCTCACCCATCCCCCCACCCCCTCCCTTCCAAAACTCTCAGTTTGTTTCTCAGAGTCCACAGTCTATCATGGTTCGACTCCCCCTCCGATTTCCCCCAACTCACTTTTCCTTTCCTTCTCCTTACTTCCTCCATGTTACTCCTTATGCTCCACAAGTAAGTGAAACCACATGATAATTGACTCTCTCTGCTTGATTTATTTCACTCAGCATAATCTCCTCCAGTCCCGTCATGTTGATACAAAAGTTGGGTATTCATCCTTTCTGATGGAGGCATAATATTCCATTGTATATATGGACCACATCTTCTTTATCCATTCGTCTGCTGAAGGGCATCTTGGCTCTTTCCAGTTTGGTGATTATGGCCATGGCTTCTATGAACATTGGGGTACAGATGATCCTTCTTTTCACTACATCTGTATCTTTGGCATAAATACCCAGTAGCAGCACTTAGTCTTTAAGAAAATCTTAATATTTTGCTATATGTTCTTCAGCTTTTAAAATTGATATTATTTTCAAGAAAGAAAGCATTACAGATGCAGACCAAAGCTCCTGTCATATCCCCTGTCCCCATCCCCTCCTTCTCTTCTTCCCCTATCCAGGGCAAAACGCACACTGAATTGTATGGCTATCATTCCCAAGCATGTTTTAGACTTCAACTACGTGATTATGTATCTATAAACAATGATGGCATTGTCTGGAATGTTTTTAAATTTTTAAAAAGATTTATTTATTAGAGAGAGAGAGAGTGAGCAGCAAGGAGGGGCAGAGGGAGAGGGAGAATCTCAAGCAGACGCCCCACTGAGCTGCAGAGCCCCACATGGGGCTCGATCTGTCCAGGGATCAAGAATCAGACTCTTGGGGTGCCTGGGTGGCTCAGTGGGTTAAGCCTCTGCCTTCGCCTCAGGTCATGATCTCAGGGTCCTGGGATCGAGCCCCGCATCAGGCTCTCTGCTCAGTGGGTAACCTGCTTCCCCTCTCTCTCTCTGCCTGTCTCTCTGCCTGCTTGTGGTCTCTCTCTGTTAAGTAAATAAATAAAATCTTAAAAAAAAAAAAAAAAGTCAGACACTTAACCCGACTGAGCCACCCAGGGGCCCCAGGCCTGTTTTAAATTTTATGTAAATGGTATCAGTTTCTTCAGCCAGGATCCTGTGGAAGGACATCTAGGTTGTTCCCAGCTTCTCTCTTTTACAAAGTTGCAACGAGCATTCTTTACGCTTCCTTGTGTACATACTAGTGTCTCCTTAGGAGAGAAGCCAAAAGGGAGTGTTTATTGGATCATAGTGGATGTTTTTTTGTTTGTTGTTCTTTTACAAGTCATACAAACTGCTTTTCAAATTGGCTGTTCCACGTCCATTCCCACCAGCTACACTATTATTTTAAGAAAGCATTTTTGGGGCACCTGGGTGGCTCAGTGGGTTGAGCCTCTGCCTTCGGCTCAGGTCATGATCTCAGGGTTCTGGGATCGAGCCCCACATCGGGCTCTCTGCTCAGCGGGAAGCCTGCTTCTCCCTCTCTCTCTCTGCCTGCCTTTCTACCTACTTGTGATCTCTCTCTCTCTGTCAAATAAATAAAATCTTTAAAAGAAAGCATTTTTATTGAAGGGTAACAGCCACTTAGGAAAATGCACACATGAAAACTGTACAGATTGATGAGTTTTTACGCAGTGAACACTCTGGGGTCTGGGAACAGAACATTCCCAGACCGCAGACACCCTGTCCCTGGTACTGTCTCTCTAGTGAGGACCCCCACCCCAGGGTAATCACGACCTTGACACTAAAGGACAACGAACTCAGTCTGGCTTTGTACTTTACATGAAGGGAATGGTATAGCGTGAATCTTTCCTGTCTTTTCACTTAATATTGTATTTGTGGTACTTACTCAAGTTGTTGTGTGTGTAGTTATAGATTGTTGATTCTTGTCACTCTTTATTTATTTTTTTAAGATTTATTCATTTATTTTAGAGGGAGAGAGAGAGAGCACATGGGGTCGGGGGGGGCAGGGGGTGAGAGGCAGAGGGTGAGGAAGAGAGAGAATCCCAAGCAGACGCCTGGCTGAGCACAGAGCCTGATGCAGGGCTCAATCCCACGACCCTGAGATCATGACCTGAGCCGAAGTCAAGAGTCGGAGGCTCAGCCCACTGAGCCACCCAGTGTGCCCAATTTTACCACTCTTTAGTATCCCTTTGTGTGACTGTGCCAGTTTCCTTTACCTGTTCTACTATGAATGGACATTTGGTTGGTTTCCCTTTGGGAGCTATTATAGTAGTACTGCTAGGAACATTCTAGTGACGTTGTATTACGCGTGCTTTTCTTTGCAGGAGTGTAATGGGAGACTCCTAGCGTAGGTGTATGCTCGGCTTTAGTAGAAACTGACAATTTTCCGTAGGGATTGTACCAGATGACTCTCCTACAAGCAATGTACGAGAGTCCCCATTCGTTCACACAGCCTCATCAGCACGTTGTTCTTCCGGCTGTTCTGGTGGGTGTGTAGTGGCGTTGTGTTATGGTCTTGCCTTTCCCTGATGACCAATTACAACACTGTTTTCCATGTTATATTCTTACGGTTGTTTCATGATTTCTCTGAAGTATCCCCCATTATGGAATACATATGTTATTTGAAACAACACAGTGATAAACGCCTTTGTAGTTAAGGATTTTTGCACTTCTTATGTCTTTGAGAGAAATTTCTAGAACTGGCATTATTGGTTCAGAAATGATGATCCTTGGACGCCTGGGTGGCTCAGAGGGTTAAGCCTCTACTTTTGGCTCAGGTCATGATCTCAGGGTCCTGGGATCGAGTCCCGCATCGGGCTCTCTGCTCAGCAGGGAGCCTGCTTCCTCCCCTCTCTCTCTGCCTGCCTCTCTGCCTACTTGTGATCTCTCTCTGTCAAATAAATGAATAAAATCTTAAAAAAAAAAAAAAAGATGATCCTTAAGTCTTTGGAGACACGTGGCCCTGCAGAGGGACGAGGTTGGTCACAGGCTCACCAGCCAAGCAGACACAGCTTGTTTTCCCAGTCCTAACCAGTGTGGGGCCCAGCCATGAGGGTGCCCTGGCTCTCCAGCGCTTTAAACATTATTCAGCAATTCCTGAATAATATTCCTCCCCTTTGGTGTCTGTCAGGATGAATTATCATGCCGTGACCGGTCCTTTTCGCCTCCCGAGGGACCTTTCCGTGACCTGCCCTTTCTGTGTGTACCTCTTCCTACTCACTGCTGTTCAGAGCAGATAACCAGGGACAATATAGTGTTTGAGAATTCGCAGAGATCTGGATTCAAATCCTGGTTCTGCCTCTTACCAGGGAAAAATTATTCTACCTCTCTGGCCCCCAGTCTCCACTCTAAAGTGAGAAACTCACATGTTTGCCGGGAGAACACATTAAAGGAAGAGAGGCTGACTAAGTTCCTGGCCCAACTTTGCAGAAGATGATGCTCAAATGGCCGTAAAGCATTCCTTAGCTGCCGGGGAACTATATATCAAAACCGCAGTGAGATACTATTGCTGAAAGACTAAAATTAAAGACTGACAAAGTTAGCAAAAACGAAGAGCAGCCGGAACCAGTGTGGCTTGCTGGTGGGGGTAAAATGGGTGGAACCACTCTGGAAAACTGGAAGTTTCTACTGAAGCTAAACGTATGTGTAGCCCGGGACTCAGCATGTCCACCCCTAGGAAGATACACAGTAGAAATACATCCATGTGCATACAAAAGACTCAGACAGGAGTGTTCTCTGGCAGCTTTATTCATCATAGCTCAAAGCTAGAAATTGGCCCAAACCAAAAGTCCATCAGTTGCAGAAGTATTCTGGGATGATTACACAATGGAATACTATACAGCCATGAAAAGGACACGTTCCTGTAGACACAGGTGACACCCACCAACAATGCTGGGCAAAAGAGGCCAAGCATAAAAGAAGATATGCCATCTGGTTTTATGTATATGAGGGCCCCAAACAAGATAATAGGAATCTTGCAGAAGCCAAGAGAGTGGTTTTCATTAAGGGAGATCAAGACTAGGAGGGAGCATGGAGGTCTTCCAGGAGCCAGAATGTTCTAGATCTTGATCTGGGTAGTGGTTCCATCAGTGTATGCATATACAAAAGTTCAGCAGGCTATAAATTTAAGATGTGGGCACATTACTGCTTGGAAGTTACACTGCAATGAAGAAGAAGAAACGTAAAGTAGCTGGCCTAGTGCTCAAGAAGTAGGAGGGGCACCTGGGTGGCTTAGTGGGTTAGAGCCTCTGCCTTCGGCTCAGAGCATGATCCCAGGTGGGATCGAGCCCCACATCGGGCTCTCTGCTCAGCAGGGAACCTGCTACACCTACCCCCGCCACCTACCTCTCTGCCTACTTGTGATCTCTCTGTCAAAAAAAAAAAAAAAAAAAAAAAGAAGTAGGAAATTGAAATATTCCTATGCTCATTACCCATTCCCTGCCCGTTATCAATCATAAATCATGGTACATAATATTTGCTCAATTTGGGCTCTTTGTTCTCTCCCCACCCCTGACGTCGATCGCAGGATCTCTGTCTGTGATGAGGACAAATTTGGCCATAACGAGTTTATTGGTGAGACCAGATTTTCACTCAAGAAACTGAAGCCCAACCAGAGGAAGAACTTCAATATCTGTCTGGAGCGGGTGATCCCGGTGAGCACCTTTGCCCCGAGGGCATGATGGGAGGGAAGGATTTGGGGGCTGGGGGCCTTCCTCTGGGCCTGCAAAGGGGGTGATCTGCAGGGTGCCTGACAGGAGAGGCGGGAGGGCGATTTCAGATCAGAGCGTGGGGGTTGGCATTCCAGCTCTGCCTTTTACCAACCCTGTGTCGGTATCACTTCTGACCTCGGAATCCTCCGTGGTGAAACTGGGAAGGGCAGTGTGCTACGGCAGGGTGGCCTGCCTGGGTTCAAACCCAGCTCTGCCACTTCCCTGTTCCCCGGCCTTGGCCAAGAGTCTGAACTCTCCTGAGCCTCCGTTTTTCTTGTCTACCAAATGGGCTTTCTAACAGGACCTGCGCCAGAGGAGGGTTGCATGAAAGATAGAATCAGGGCAGAACCTAGTGTCTAATAAGCACTCATAAATTAACTGTGTGTTATCGTGGAAAATAATGCTGGCTGACCCATTTGTCGGTCATGAGTTCATAAAGCACCGCACAGAGCAACAGGAGACAAGGTCACGTACTGCTTAAGAGCACGGGCTCTGGAGCCAGACTCCTGGGTCTGAATCTCAGGCTTTGCCACGTATTATTTATTTAACTTCTTTTTTAACCAAATTACTTATTTTATTTTATTTATTTTATTATTTTATTTATTTATTTCTATTTATTTTATTTCTATTTTACTTTATTTTACCAAATTACTTAACCTCTCTAGGCCTTAGTTTTCTTATCTGCAAAATGGAATCCTGTAGTAAGTACCAGCTTCATAAGGTCCTTTAAGGATTAGTGTGCGATCTCATATACAGCGTCGGAGCTATGACCCCTCGGTGTGGCACTCGCCTTTTAGGACAGAACAGGAACTGCACCGAGGTTCTCCAGTTGGGCCATACCTCAGAATCAACTGGAGATTTTTATTTTTCTTTTTTAAAGTTTAATGTATTTTAATAACAAACTTACAGGAACAGCACAAGAGACAGACAACATTAAAAACGTGTATTTGCAGGCAGGACAACTCAATTAGGAGAGTGTAGTGATGATCTATCCCGTCACTGGGATCCACTGTATGACAAAAATGCCACAAACTCCAATTAGCTGCCATCAATAGGAAATTTCCTTGTTTGAAAAACAAAAACAAACAAAAAAACAAATGCTGGCATTGTCCAGAAAACATGTAGCCGGTTTATTGATCATGGTTATAACGTTGAACCTGCTGAGAACTGTCCACACGTACTAATTGCATTCATGCCTTAGGTCCCCACATTTGTTAAAAACTCACACACAGATGAAAACAGAAACTGTGCCAATACCTGACTTCTGTCCCGTTTTTCTGCTGGCAGTCATCACTTAGGTACCTTTTGACTCCAGGGAAGAAAAAATACCTAATTTTCAGAACTACCTATACCAGGAAGACTTTTTTTTTTTTTTTTTTTTTAAAGAATGAAATGTTTTCCCTCCTAGTGGAGTCTCAAGGACGTTTCCACGTGTGCGGCGTGCTCGCAGGATGCCTCTGGCACAGTTGTTACACGTTTGGCGTGGAGACCACACACACTGGTGTCTTTATAAAGACCCCACAGGGAGGCCTCCCTAGCCTCCTGCAAAGCCCCCAGAGCTGCACTCTGGACACGCAGATCAGTTTTGCAGTCCCGCCCCAGACGCTACAAAGGAAGTTTTGTGCGTCCAAAGTTCAGTGCATTTCTGATAACGTCTGATTTCACAGCATCAGGCCTGTAACGGTGAGGTTTCTTCAGCCCTTTGGTAGAGGGTGTGGTCCGGTGGGCTGTGGGAGCCCCGGCCCCGGAGACCTCCTCACTTCCCCTCCTTCCCTGTGGCTGCTGCTGCCAGAGCCGGAGGCGCTGGCACTGGAGTTAGTGAGCGAGAGATGGTGTGGCCCAGCGGCAGCAGCAAACACAGTTCCCAACTCGAGGTTTTTAAACCAGAGCTTTACAGACTCAGATCCGTGGGGGTCTCCCTGGAGATCCTGACTTAGTGAGGTACGGTAGGACCCAGCCATCTATTTTCAGAGATAATCAAATCGGCCCCTTCTACCTATGGGCCACCTTGGGCCCAGAGAGGGGAGGGGGCAGCCAAGGTCACACCGCAAGTCAGTGGCTGTGCTCTCAGGCACCGGCCAGAGCCCAGCCCTCCTGCAGTCACCAGGGTGCCTGGTCCCCTGCGCAGCAGGCCAGCTCCCCGTGGGGATGCCATCACGGGCAGGAGGGGAAATCCTGCAGCAGCCTCCCACCAGATGGCCGGCTGGAGGATGGAGTATCTGTGTGCCGCACCATCTTTGTATAGCACTGGCGAAAGAACAAGACACGACAAGGAAAATTGCAAGGAGCAATTTACACCAAGTGTCAAGCTGCAAATAAATCATTACAGGCAATCCTAAGAGTGAGGCGTTTCCTCTGGGTCTTTTCCTTTGACAGCTGCTTCTTCCGGCGCCCTCTTCCATCCCTCACCCAGTGAGTCCAGTTGGTCAGGACTGTGGCCAGGCCCCCATCTGGGTTTTCAGCTCCGGAGTTTGCCTTTCTTGCCGTGAGGGATGCAACCAGCCCCAGAGGCACAAAGGAGGCAGGACAGGCAGAGGCCCAGAGTAGCCACAGGACCCTCCTGATCATCTTTTGTTCTTTGCCCTTAACCATCCCACTACCAGTTACCCCCATGTGCCTCACCAAGGGCAGGGGCCTCGTCAGTGCCTCCCCTCCCCTCTGGATCCCAGTTTTCCTTATCCCTAAAGTGGGGAGGTTGGACTCAGCCGGGGGTTTTCACATAGTGTTCCCCAGAGTGCTAGAATCCCACAAAAGGACCTTAGGAGCCACAGGGGAAGAAGTACCCAGTGGCTCAGACCCCAAAACCCCTATGCCACTTCTATCAGAGCAGATGAAAGCTTACCTGTTTTGTGTATGTTGGGGGGGGGGTGCTCCTGCCACTTGGTGGCTGTGTAAGCTTGGGCAAGTGGCTTAACCACTCTGATCCTCAGTGTCCTCCTCTGTAAAATGGGTTAGTAATATACCCTATATCATAGGCTGGTGTGCATTCACATGGTCTGTCAAATGGTTAATGTTATGTAAGTTTTATCTAAAGGGAAAGAGCTGGAGGGCCATAGCTTGGAGGGCCCACCCTCACGGGTCTCTATGCTGATGGAAGGGTGAGGGTTTTCTGGTCCTTCTTGTGCAGGGAGATGAGCCTCACAGACTCATGTTATCTTTCCTTTCTGTTTCCTTCCTCTAAGATGAAGCGTGCTGGAACCACTGGGTCAGCCCGAGGCATGGCCCTTTATGAGGAGGAGGTGAGCACTGAGTGGGTATCGAAGCCACAGTCGGGGTCCACCATCTCTTTCCTCTCTTGCCTAGCGCCTTCCTTTTTTCTCCTAAAACCACTTGCCTGTCGGTTTACCACAAGAGGGGTACCCTTGTGCCCGAGGCATTAGAATATGAGACCCAGGGGATGCTTCTCCCACCTGGAGCCCCCACCTTTTATGGGGGGCCCACCCCACACTCTCACCCCCAGGACACACCCTCGAGTTCCCCTATTTGTTGGTTAAGTTCTGCTGGCAGTTCTGCAGGACCAGAGCGATGTCACTCTCCCTCTGTTCATGGGGACATGGGGGCTGGGGTTGGACTACACCTCTGCACTCTTTGCCCGGGTCCCTTATGCCACCCCAGGGACTCTAATTGTGAAAAGACTGGTTGACTGCAGCAAATCTGAGCTCAGTCAGACTGGAAGCAGGGTCCAGCCCCACCTATGGTCACTCAGGGCTCTGTCCATGTCTAAGTAAAGTTCCCACCCTCATGTGCCTTGGACTTTCACCCATGTTGGTATCACTGCTTGCTGGGCCCCAGAGACCAGGGGGCGTCTGCTGTCCGTGGTGCTGAGCACACTGGGGAGGACCAGCACTTCCTCCTCTCTATAGACTCCTCCCTAACGCTAGCCATCCATCCAGTCGCCTGGCCCCCTCCCCTTCCTAGACTCATATACCCTCTTCTACTGCAGCAGGTGGAACGTATTGGTGACATAGAGGAACGTGGCAAGATCCTGGTGTCCCTCATGTACAGCACACAGCAGGGAGGCCTCATTGTGGGCATCATACGCTGCGTGCACCTGGCCGCCATGGATGCCAATGGCTACTCAGATCCATTCGTCAAGCTGTGAGTCACTGGGACTGTGAGTGGGCCCCAGAGGGGGTCCTAGATCCTTGCAAAGGGAGAACTAGAGAGCTTCCCCAAGATGATTGAACACTGGGGCCCAGAGAAGGAAATTAGCCTGTCCAAGGTCATACCGCGAGATGGTGCCCAGAACTGGCTAGAGCGTGAGTCTGGCATCTCAGAGGAGTCACTTGCCCATATGAGGAGTTTTGTGGCTCTGTCCCCTCCAGTGGGACAAAGGCAGTCGGCAGCGTTGCAGTGACCCCATTTGGAGCCCCCTTGAATCAGCAACATGTCCCTCCAGCAGTCCAGCAGTCCAGAGCCCCACCACCAAAGAAACAATCCAGCTTTTTCCAGTGCAAATCTGGAAATGTTTAACGAAAAGACCTTAGACTTTGAGTTATTCCCAGAAACTCCACCATGGGGAGTCAGAGAGTCGTGTTATCTGTGTTAGTGCAGAGCCTCTGGAATGATGCCAAGATGGGGTTCAACAGACCAGGGCTTCGCTAGCGGCAATGCCTGAGGCAGGGAGACGGGAGAGCTGCTAGACCGCCATGCGAGTCTAACTCACGTGAGCAGAGGGGAGAGACGGGCCAGGGGAGGCATCGTGGATGCAACTTCAGCAAGGCCATCAGCGTCCTCAAGGCCCAAAGCAGCCACCAGACAAGTCCCATGTCTCCTAGGAACAGGACTCCCATAATATTCCTGCCAACTTCAGCCATCAGCCCAGAGCGGGGCCACGGCAAAAGCATGGCTAGGTTTCCAAGGGCAGCAGCCGAGACCTCAGTCAGCAGTGCTGTAGCTGGAGGTCCGCCCAGCACATCCTCACGGCCACCACTGAATCAGACATGGGTTCCACTCCCATCTCTGCCAGCTGCCCGCTGTATAACTATAAGCAAGTTATCCTAACCTCGGATTCTTCCTGGGCACAGTGGAGACAGTAGTGCCACTTATGCCCAGGAATGGGCACAAGGCAAAAGGCTCAAATAAGATCTCACATAGAAAGCAATTCGAAATGTGCCTCGTACAGTAATATTTGGCCCACTCTCAGTAGACTTCTGCATTGCCTTGTCGCAGCTAAAGGTATGTTTCTATGGATATGATTGAAAGATTGGGCTCTGGATCCAGACTGCCTGGATTTGAATCTTAGAGCCCATAGTCTTCAATATTCTCTAGCTGTGTGACCTTTGGCTAGTGCCTTCCCATCTCTGGGCCTCAATGTCCTCATCTGTAAAATGGGAAGAGTAACATTGGTCATTAGGTTCTGCCCCTCAAGAAGCAGACTCCAGGGCTAAATGAGATGTGCAGGAGATTTATTGGGGGAAAATGTCTGTGAGGAAAAATTGAGAGGGAGCCAGCGGAGGACCATAGGGAAAGCAGGTGGGGTGGAGGAGGGGGCCGGGAGGACAAGTTGGGCAGGAAGAATCTTAGATTGCAGTACAGTTCTGACGAAGTTACAGCCCAGGTGATGGGGAATGCTTGAGCACAAAATCGCTCATTGCAGGAGCCCTGCGTCTCCCAGCAGTGGGACTGCCTGGTGGCCCTGCTGGCCCTGCTGGCCCAGGTGCTGGCTGGGAGCCCAGGGTGAGCACAGCCACGGTGAGAACATTGGGGTGAATTCAGAGCCCAGCCACCTTGTCAGTCCATTTTGCTCCCCCACGGCTGGAGGTCTGAGAGAGCATTGTCATGGGGTCTGGTACACAGTAGGTGCTCATTAAACACCTGCCATTCTGGTTCTAAATCACGACCCCTCCCGTTCCTCCCCGTAGCAGAGAGCGTTTATTGATGTTCCCTCCAGCCCGGGAGAGGTTCCCTCCCCCCGCCTCCCTCTCATAATAGAAGGCAGTGCTCACTTTAAGGTCATGGCTAAAATATCAGGCCAGAGTGGACTCTGCTTTGGATTTCTTCGAATGAGGGTTTAGTGAACAGAAGAACCCATGAGTCAGGGATGAATTTGATTTCTAGGAGTAACTGGGTTTTGTTTTCTCATATGGGCCAATAAAGAAAATTAGCTCATGGGCCACTGTCCTGCACTCTGTTACATCCCAGCCACCGGCAAGCTGTTTTTCTTAAATAATTCTCCCTACCCACCCCCTTCTTCCATCCACCCAATCACTGTGGAGGAAGGAACATCGCTGTGGTCACCCAGAAAACAGTTGCCCTGGTGGCCATCATGGGAAAGCTAACAGGAGACCATTAATCAGTCTAAGATTGAATTAAGATTTTTTAAAAAGATTTTATTTATTTATTTGACAGAGAGAGAGATATCACAAATAGGCCGAGAGGATGTAGAGAGAGAGGAGGAAGCAGGCTCCCTGCTGAGCAGAGGGCCCGATGCGGGGCTCGATCCCAGGACCCCGAGATCATGACCTGAGCCAAAGGCAGAGGCTTAACCCACTGAGCCACCCAGGCGCCCCTGAATTAAGATTTTTAAAATCAGAATTGCCCTTTATCTTTGCTCAGCACTTCATACTGTTCAGTCCCCGCTTTGTGTCCCTTCTTTAAAATTGTCCTCAAGGGGTGCCTGGGTGGCTTGGTCCCTTAAGCATCTCTGCCTTTGGCTCAGGTCATGATCTCGGGGTCCTGGGATAGAGCCCCACAGAGGGAATGGGGGTAGCCATTCCCCCCCCCCCCGGCCTGCTCAGCAGGGAGCCTGTTTTTCCCTCTCCCTCTGCTGCTCCCCCTGCCTGTGTGCTCGCATGCTCTCTCTCTCAAATAAGTAAATAATTAAAAATAAAACAAAATAATAAAATTGTCCTCAAGGGCAGTAGGAGGTACAGGCTTTCAGTTGTGGAATAAGTCACAGAGGTGAAGGCACAGCAGAGGGAATATCATCAGTGGCTTTCCAGTAGTGTTGTGTGGTGACAGATGGTGACTACCCTTGTGGTGAGCACAGCAGAAGTGTAGACGTGTAGACTTGTCAAGTCACTGTGTGTATGCCTGAAACTAATGTAACACTGTTCACTATGCTTCAATAAAAATAAATAAATAAAATAAATTATCCTCAAAACCAGTTCTGTAAGTGAAGGAAAAAAATGTTTGCCCTCTTTGCAGATTGGGAACCTGAGGCATGCTGAAGCTACACTTAGGTTCAAAGTTGCACAGCTAGTGACAGTTTTTTTTTTTTTTAAGATTTTATTTATTTATTTCACAGAGATCACAAGTAGGCAGAGAGACAGGCAGAGAAAGAGGAGGAAGCAGGCTCCCCGCTGAGCAGAGAGCCCCATGCGGGGCTCGATCCCAGGACCCTGGGATCATGACCTGAGCCGAAGGCAGAGGCTTAACCCACTGAGCCACCCAGACACCCCATAGTGACAGCTTTAATGAGAGTCCAAGTGTCCCAACAATTAGGAGCTTTTGGCCCATCTTACTTATTTGCCCAGAAAATACTGGTTGAGCACCTACTATGTGCCAGGCATTGTGCTTACACTAGGGAAGAGCTGTCTAGGCAGAGGAAATGGTATGTGCAAAGGCCCTGAGGTGGAAAGGAGAGTGAATGGGGAGTGAGGTGAAGAGCACAGCACAAGAGCAGGCTGGGCTAGAGCAAGGACCCAATCATAGAGAGCTTTAAAAGCCCCATCAAGGAATTTGAACTTTACCCTAAGGTCCAAGGGGAGCCACTGAATAGTTTTGAGGAGGACTGATTGTAATCGGATTTGCATCTTCTCCTTTCTGTGTATACAGTCACCGCCTCCCCAGGACTTGGGGGCAGCCTAAGGGGTAATTGTGCCACTCTAGGCACCACCATCCAGGCTTTCAATCTGACCCCTTGGGACTGAGTACTAGCTAAGAGGCGAGCGCTGGGTTGGTTCCGAGCTGTGTGATCTGAGGCACATGTCTCAACTTGTCTGGATGCTCAGTTTCCTTGCACATGAAATGGGGGATTGTAGCCTTACCCACAAGGGTTTGATGAGAATGAACTATCCCACAGGTGCTTAGTGCGGTGCCTGGCAGCTCTGCTCCAACGCACATCGATGTTGTTAATGTCGATTCACGTCCTGATCTGTGCAGTGATTTTCCGGGCACGGGAGGGAGCCTTTGGGGTCAAGAGGCTGATCTTATTCATTAAACTTCCTTCGCAATAGCATCTCTGTCTCCTCTCAGCTGGCTGAAACCGGACATGGGAAAGAAAGCCAAATACAAGACTCAAATAAAGAAGAAGACCTTGAACCCTGAGTTTAATGAGGTAAGGCTGCCCCACTTTTGTCATGCTCTGGGATATTTCCCGTGTGCGAAGCAGGAACAAGCTCCCTACTAGAATGTTATAATTCACATCAAAACAGTTTTCTGTTGCGGCGCCTGGGTGGTCTAGTCAGTTGAGCATCTGACTCGGTTTCAGCTCAGGTCACGATCTCATGGTTGTGGGATCGAGCCCTGCATCAGCTCCCTGCTCAGTGTGGAGTCTGCTTCAGATTCTTTCTCCCTCTCTGTTGCCCCTCTGCCCCTCCCCATTCATGCTCTCTCTCTCTCTCTCTAAAATGAATAAATAAAATATTTTTTAAAAAAGCTTTCTCTTATAGGTGCACTTGAATTATTTAAAGGATAGGTAATGAGTTCCTTGTCACCAGAGGGAATCAAGCCTAAGACAAAAGCCTATAGATTAGGCATGTCATAGGAAGACGCTGCATTTGGAGACAGACTGAATGAAATCATGTCCAAGGTCTAATAGTCTGTGGTCCTGAAATTTGAGGAAATAAATAGGGATAGTGATGCCTTTTACCAGTCACTCAGTTGGCACTGCCCCCACTCTGTCCCTCACTCCCCATGTCCATCCTGGGTATCAGGCCCTACTAAGGCCCCTATCTACGTACTGTGCCCTTCCTGTTGTCTCACTGTCACTTGTCAGGCATTTCACATCTGGACTATTGCAGTAGACTCCTGACTCACTTCCTTGTGTTTGGCCCATCCTCATACAGGCATGAGCTTTCTGAAGAATGAATCTGAATTTTTCTTCCCCATTGCTTAACCCAGCAGTGGCTCCTTAACTTCTTAGTGTGACAGTCAGGCCCTTTCAAACTCACGTCCCATCCCTTCCCCATCTCACCCTCCCCTCCTCAAGTCACCCTAACTTCGCGCGGGTCCTTGGTATATCTCTTAGCCTTTGCACCTGCTGCTCCCTTTTCCTGGACTTCCGTCTCTCTCTCTCTCCCTCTCTGGAAGACTTCTAGTCATCCCTTAAGAGTCAGTGTGTTAAAACCCCTGCAGGATTCACGTGTTCCTGCATGTCATGCTGTCCCCCTGGATTTCTGTTATTTGTTGACAAGCGGTCAGATCCTAGAGGTTCAGAAATATCTGTTGAATGTAATAATCTGACGTCAGATCAGAGTCAGCTGGCATTGTTTTTTACCCAAATGTTGGAAAGTGGGCCAAGAAAACTACAATACAGTGTGCTTTGTGCTCATTTTGCTTTTAAAATGCATGTGCCCGTATGAGTGTGCATGGAGAATATTCTTTGTAAACAGAGCTCAGAGCATCACTGGCCAGTAGCTCAGTGCATCCTATCCCCAGGTCCCTCTTTCAGCTGGACCCCTCATGTCCCAACTATGACTCCTGAATTTTGAGTAAGGAGCCAATGACTGCTGTCTGTCCTACCCGCTCCTAGAGTCTGAACAAGTCACTGAAGTAGAAATCCAAAGAACCAGTAAACCTCATTAGCAATAGAGAAGATAGGAAACAAGGCCAGACACCAGATCTCATCACAAACAGGCACAAAAATATTATAAAATGTTGGTACCCGGTGTTGGTGAGCCTGTGGGGAAATGTATGCATCATGGGTAAGAGACCAAACTGGTCCAACTTCCTAAAGGATGTTTGTCAAACTGTTGTCAAAATGTCCAAAATCCTTAACATTTTATAATTTAAATACCATTTATTTGAGGAACAGGTAATATAGTCACATACCTGAAAATTCCAAAAGTACCAAGGGATGTCCAGTCAATAATCCTCCTCCTTTCCCAGCCTCTATCACCTACTTCTCTTCTTCTGAAGGAGCTATACTATCCACTTCCAGGATTTATAAACATACTGGACAAACACGCATAGGGCCAGCTTTCTTACTGGCCACAAATGGCATCGTGGTGTACGTTGCTGCTCTCTATCTTAGAACCTTACAAACGCAGAGATACACGTCTCAGAATCTATCCTGAAAAAGTTATCACGGATTTGCACAGTGACTGAGTTGCAAGTGTGCCTTTCATCCGATCATTAATGGTAGCGGAAAGTTGGAAACAACGTCAGTACTCCGCTGTTGAGCATTACATTGAGGTTAGGGACAGTGACATAAGCATTACAGGAAACCAGAAAGATATTTGCTAATGCGGTAAGCTGGTTTTTTACAACGTGTTATAAAATGAGAAAATAAGGCTCTCACAATGCAGCATATTCATATTATACTTTACGTAATATTCAAATGTTTCATATAATATTCAAATTAATATTCATGTTGACTTTTGAAAACATACATTAATGTGGTCGCACATGGGAAATGTTGACAGTGGCTATTCTGGGGTAGTTAGATGACAGGCTTTGGGAGTTGGGTTTTATTTGATTTTATTTTAGCTTCCTCGTTTGTTTTAACGATGAACATGAATGGGGGCGTCTGGGTGGCTCAGTGGGCTAAAGCCTCTGCCTTCAGCTCAGGTCATGATCCTGGGTCCTGGGATCGAGCCCCGCATCGGGCTCTCTGCTCGGCAGGGAGCCTGCTTCCTCCTCTCTCTCTGCCTGCCTCTCTGCCTACTTGTCATCTCTCTCCGTCAAATAAATAAATTTTTAAAAATCTTTTAAAAAAAACAATGAACATGAATGCATTTTACAGTTAGGCAGAAAAGTGATGTAAAAAGTCTGGAAACCCAAGCCTCTGTCTTTCATGTCCGTCTCAAGTTCCTCGACTACCCTTAATCTGTAAATGATGTAGAGACGAAAATCCACTTCAGAAGCGACCAGAACAGAAGGACTGAATTCAGGGCCATTTGCCTTTAAGGAAACCTGACCAGGAGCAGCTCTCTTAGAAAAATCCCACCAGCCGTCCTGATTTTAGAGTCACTAAAACGTGAATCATGGGTTTTGAGAGACTTTGTTATACAGAGTGTTGAAAGGGGATTGTCAGTCCTGGGGTAAAGGCTCCAGCTGGAGGGTCCCCTTGCTCCCAGGTGCTGGGTTCAAGGACCTCCCCTTGGTCCCTGAATCCCTAGGGCTCATCCCCTTAGCTTCTAATGCCGAAGGCTCAGGGCCCTCCCACTCACCTGTCTTTCTCTGCTGCATCCAGGAGTTTTTCTATGACATCAAACATAGTGACCTGGCAAAGAAGTCCTTGGACATCTCGGTCTGGGACTATGACATCGGCAAGTCCAACGATTACATCGGTGAGTGCTCCCGACTCCCAGAGAAAAGCTCCTCCTCCCTGGAGAGAAGAGCCTTGAGGATCCAGGCTTCTCTTAGAGGGTTCAGGGCTCTCCCTGTCTTCTGGTGGTCATTTCATCCAAACACCACCTCGGGACCCAGGGTACTGATCTGGGTCCAATTTGGGGATGCTTTTATAGGAAAGGGCTTATGAAGCTGGGCGACTCGGTCATGATTGGTTATTTGCTGAACAGGTAACCAAATCACAGAGGAGAGTGGGGTCTGTGGCCCCCAAAAATAGGGTACAAAGGAAGTCCCCTTAATTCGTGAGGCCTGGAGGAAGGTTCTAGTTTTCCCAGCCCCCCTTCCAATGATGAGGAAGATCATCCATGAAAGGTGAAGCAGGGAGGGCACTCCAGGCAAGGGACAGAGCATAAGCCAAGGGATGGAGGCAGTGCTGGACAGGGTGGCCGAGCTGACCCTTTGGAAATAGACGAGGGGTACCCAGAAGTAGTGGGAGACAAGTTTCAGTGAGTGGGGTGGTGACTTACAGAAGGTCTTAAAAAAATGGGACAGTGAAGCTACCACATGGTGCTCCCATAGGGAGCCATGGCGGGCTCCTGAGTAGCTGGTGTGCGGGCAGAGAAGGCCCCTAAGTAACGTCATCACAACAGCCCTCCGTAGAGAAAGACCCCAGGTTGCTGGAGGGGTCACTGCTTGCCGGCAGCTTTCCCCCAGCTAGACATTAGGATCCAGAACTAGAGTCCCATGCGTCCCTCCACTCTGACCACCTGCCTCTGTCTCCCCATCTTGCCCTCCAGGGGGCTGCCAGCTGGGGATCTCGGCCAAGGGAGAACGCTTGAAACACTGGTACGAGTGTCTGAAAAACAAGGACAAGAAGATTGAGCGCTGGCACCAGCTACAGAACGAGAACCACGTGTCGAGCGATTAGGATGGGCCCCCAGGTCCCCAGCTCCATGCCCCACCCCGTGCCAGGTCACCCGCCAGCCTGACCCTGCCGCCCTTCGCACTCTGGCCTCTCTTCTCTCTGCCCCCCCACCCCCCTCCCTCCCCAAGCCTGCCTTTGAGGTGCCCCCTGACCTTGGGCACTGCTGCCAAAGACGTTTCTCCTCCGTCTGCGATGCTGTGGTGCGGGGCCTGACTGCAGCCCCTCTCTGGTCCCTCCAGGATGGAGCAGGAGGGAGAGGAAGGTGGAGATTTGTACAAGGAGGCTGGAATTTAACAACCTTTCTGTCTGGGGAAACTACAAAGGTTCTTCATCATTTAGGACTGTTTTTAGAACCTCCTGGCCTTGAACACACACACACACACACACACACACACACACACACACACACCCTGCAACCCTGCATTTCCTGGGTCGTGTCTGTGTATACCCTCAGCTGGTCAGCAGACTAGAACCAGGCTGCGAGGGCCAGCACTGGGGCAGAGACAGAACCTCCAGGCCTCTGCTGCCCCTCCATGCCACACGCCCCGATTGCCAGGAAGACAGACCACCGGGCTTAAACTCCCCGGTGACTAGGAACAGACTCTCCTGGCCCCAAATGCATCCAGAAATGGACACGCAGAACACACAAAGGGGCTTAGTAGCCCCCTCTTTCAGGATGCCCCCTCTGTTTGCTTCCTAGCAGAACCCAACACCCTTTCTCTAGTGCCCCCCCACCATCCGCCTCCCGTCCTGCCTTCCTCCCTCCCTAACCCTACTTCCCATCAAACTCTCTTTCTCTGTTCCTCACCCTCCTCTCTCCCTGTCCATCTCTCTCCCCGTCTCCTTTTCCTCTTTCTAAGAGGGTTCAATAGCAACAGCAAAAAATACCTTAAGCCAGCCTCACCCCCTCCCCAGCTTGGCCAACAAACTCAAACTGCCCCCCCCCACGCCTTGGAGTTCCAGTTAGGCCCGCGTGCTTCTCAACCCCCGCCCATGTCTCCTGGTGGAGGAACCAGGGGGCCACCCCGCCCCCTGCTGGGCCTGCTGCTGGTGCTGTCCGAGGTGCATGGTGGCCTCCCGCCAGCTGTGTAGACGCCCCTTAGTGGGCTTCCTCGGCCCCTGGGCTCCCCAAGTAGGTGCAAAAGGCAGTTAGAAACCAGAGCTCTGGGTCTGGGTGGGGGCGGGGGCTCTCCAAAGCCCCCAGCCTTCCCCCTCCCTCTGCTCTTAGTTAAGTAAACACTCTGCTCTGTCTGTCCCTGGCGCTCTCTGCTTCTCTGAATCCCCGAGCCCTGTCTCTCACGCAGAATCGCCTTGAATGTCTCTGTCCGTGATGCTGTCTCAGTCTGTCTGTCTCTTGCACCCTTTCACCAAGTTTGTCGGGAGCATAAGATACCATCGTGAATGTGCAGCTTTGGAGAGTGACAGATCCTGACGCCAACGGCCGTAGTTCCATCATGAATCATTTGGGCTCTCTTCCCCCCAAATTAAAAAAATAATAGTAAAAAGGAAGAAAAGGCAATGAGAATGAAGGTTACAAATGTGAGGCTGGGGTCAGGGCATCTGTCCCTGCCCCGAGAGAAAGGCTTGTTTTTCCCCGGTTTCCTTTGTCTTCCCCATGAAAATCACATCCCTCTGTCTGACAGCCCGTTGTCCACAGACGTCATCAGATGGACACGCAAACTCTCACTTTCTCCAAACGCACCTTTTAACCTTTCTCAGTCAATGCCCTCCGCCCTCAGCTCCCTGCGCAACTCATCGGAAGACTCTGATTTCTTGCCTTGAATAACCATCTTCCAAACACCAAGCTCTTCGCCTTCCCCAAGATGGCCAATGGCTTCCAGGCTGCCATCTTGCCCCCCAGCCCTGTCCCTCTGTCAGTCCCCATGGCGCCCACTCTCGGCCCACCTCCTTCCCACGGTTCGCCCCGAGGAGAAAGCATGCTAGCTGCATTGCTCAAGCCTGACGCTGGTGTTGGCACTGGAATCAGCATGCAGCAAGCTCACGGTGTCCCCGGACCGGGCGCCTGCTGTCCATGACAAGTGTAACCCCTCCCTGCCTAGAATACACACACGCCCTCCAGTGCATGCCGAACCGCCCACTGCCTTTCTTTGTGATGATGTAGTCAAAAATAAAGTAGGAATATCCAGGAAAAGCTGGTGGCCTGGGTTTTTCCTTTCTGGTTTCTGGAAGTGCTTCCTCCCCATCAGGATACTTGATCCTATTTGGAGAGTCAGTGTTTAATGAGCATCTGCTATGTACCAGCCCTTGGGGTTTCGGCCACGGACAAGGCAGATGTGGTCTCTGTCCTGGTTGGCTGACTCCACACCCAGGTAGAAGAATGCTTTTTGCTGATGCCCACCCAACAGGGGGCCAGCATCTCTTCTCCCTTCTTCCTCAACCTTGGGGAAAATCCTGCATGGCATGAAATTAGACAATGTCAAGATGCAAAGAGAGAAAAGAGCTGAACGAAGGCCAAGTTCTGTCGACTCACTTACCTGACAGAGGAATAACCCAAAGCCCAGGGCAGGGAACAACATGGCCAATGGCTCACGGCAGCAGTGCCAGAAAGGAGCTGTTTCACTGGACTCCTGATGCAATGTCCTTAACATCTTGGTTAATAATATCACAGATCATCAATGTCTCCTTGATGTTCTAGCACCTTCCATCCTGCAAGGAGCCTTCACAGATGGCCCTCACCAGTCCTGAGGGCTTAGTCCTGTGGGCTAAGGAGCTAACCGACTTCCCAGGGGGGTTCTTAATCTTGCCAAGACCTATCCCAAAAGTGTTTAAGCAATTTATCGGGAATGTTGGTTACTTCCCAGAAGGAATCATCAGTTTCATCCACCAGATGGCCAATTTAGAGACAAGATCTTTTTCTTATCCCCAAAAGGGTGGTTCTCAATCTTAGGGAAGAAATAGGCCTATTGGAGTCGCCTGTAGAGATTTGCTTTTCAAACCACCCATGCTCTCCCTGCCACCCCACACCCAGACTCTAACTGTACACTGGGGACGAGATGTATATCTGAATATATTTCCTGGTTGATGCCTTGTGCCTCCCACCTCCCTCATGACTTTGCCAACCACTGTCCTAGTCCATCTCTTTTTCCTATGATTTAGCCAGCTGCCAGCAGGTGGAGAGAGGTACCAATTAGGGCCGTGGAGTTTCACCCACCCACCCAAAGGAGTGGCAGGAGGCACTGGTTCCCCTGTGCTCAGGGCAGACATCACTAATCTCTCCCCGCGCTCATAGCAGACATTGCTAATCAATATGGCATCTTCCCCACAGAGCCTGCCAGCAGCCTCTGAATCCTTCTCAACAAAGCATTCTAGGCAGCCACCACCAGCCAGTCATGAACGGATGAAAAGAAAGCTAATATCCATCTCTAAAATGATTGATCTCCTTCCCCCAGGTATGTAGACATGCCAAAGAAGCCACGATGAATATCCGTGAGGAAAGTTTTCAAAACTATCGGTACGCCTGACTTGACTAACGATCTTTTTCTCCCCCGTTGAAATAAAGCACAATGCATGTGGTAATACAGTGGGGCTCAAAGCACCTGATGATACAAAAAGCATGCCAGTTTAGTAAGCAGTTCCGTCCAGCATTCAAATCCTGACCGGCACTCTCTAGATGTGCAAACTCACTTCTCAGACTTAGTTTCATCATCTGAAAAATGGGAACAACTAGGACTATTTCCAAGAGGTGAGACGAAGTTGCTGGGATCTGGTCTCCCACCAGGGCTGATGAAGGTGGGCCCCGGGAAAGGGGAAGGTCGAGGGATTGGGGGTGCCTGGTGAAGTCAGTACAAGTGGATTAAAATGCTCTGTGCTGTGGAATCCACTGGGCTGACCCCTCCTCTGCTGAATCAGGTTTGCCAGGGGAGTTGGCCTAACAAGGTTAAGTAATACATTTGAGCACCTTGGAAACACAAGTCACCGTGCATGTGTGGGACAATTATAGCTAACTTGGCCCTGGCCCAAACTTGCTGTGTGACCTTGAACACATCACTTGGTCTGCAACACTTTAGGTAGGACATCAGAGTGTCATGATTAACTTGGTTGCCGAGACCCACAAATGTGCCTTAGTTTCCCAATTGTTCAGTAAAGACCTAGACCTTTTTGCTGAGGGCAGGCCCCCTGCCTAGAGTCCTGCGTTGTCTCTATTGCATAAAACACAAGAATTTCTTGTTGCTGTTTCTTCAAGAGGACCAATAAGTTAAAACCACCTGCAAAACACGCTCTGTCATAATTTTGGATTTTTCCAGTTGTTTCCTCAATCTTTTACAGTTGTGTTACTCTTACCCAGTTTGATACAGTGTGTTGTGAAACTTGACTTTACTTCATCTTTCCAAAGATTTCAGTGTTGGTTTTCTAAGGACGATTCTCTTTTATCCTCATGTTGGATCTGTTTATATGTATTTAGTCAACAGTATCATCCACCAAGAGAAGGGGAAGCAGTAAAAGAGAAGACAATAATTTATTTGGGGTCTTTGAATTGCACTGCGGGGAGCACAGACCCGGGTAACTGCCTGGATGTGTCCCCTTGGGGAGTGAGAGCCAGGAGTCTCCACTAGCAAACTGTGCAAGTATTAGGAAATGTACAGACGTAGTTTTCCAGAAATCACGATTAGAAGATGAAATTACATGATACCATCCATCAGTCTTCTGAGTACATTAGGTCAGTTACTAGGAAAATATCTTTCACAGATACTTCACAGAATGGCCAGTTTTTATCTAGAATGCGAATGCAGCTACCCTGTGCTTAGCAGCTCCTGTTTCAAAAACCAGGATGAGGTGTTGGTCCCCAAAATGGGAGTCTCTCATGTTCTGAGGTTTTACACAGGTTCACAGTATACATTTCATTGACAAATGCAATTGCCAGAAAGCATTTGAGAGCAGAATCTTTGAAATTCACACAATCCAACTGGGAAGAAAAGTACATGTCACCTAGAAAGAAGACCCCCCTCTATGGTTACCTTTTCCCTTCCGCATAGGTCAACATGTTATATAGAAAGAGTGGGGAGTGGAGATGATTTGCTGGTCTGGTTAAAAGAAGGGTGGTTAAGGGGCGCCTGGGTGGCTCAGTGGGTTAAGCCTCTGCCTTCGACTCAGGTCATGATCTCAGGGTCCTACGATCGAGCCCCGAGTCAGGATCTCTGCTCAGCAGGGAGCCTGCTTCCCCCTTTCTCTCTGCCTGCCTCTCTGCCTACTTGTGATCTCTCTCTCTCTCTGTCAAATAAATAAAAAAAAAAAAAAAAAAATAAAATCTTAAAAAAAAAAAAAAAAAGAAGAAGGGTGGTTAAGAAAGATAGCTAAAGGGCATTTCTAGACTACACCATCCAACCAAAACAGAAGACAAACTCTTCC